GGCGGCGGCGTCCACAAATATTCACTCTGTGGTTAAAGTTTTTGAAATGTTAATAACTTTCTTAAACTATCCTGGATTTCTACCAAACTTGGACAGAAGCTTGTTTATGATCATAAGATAGTATCCGGAAGTAAATTTTGTAAAAAAAAAATCCTGTTTTTCCGTATTTTACTTATAAATGGACTTAGTTTTTCTGCCAGGAAACATTACATTCACTCTGTGGTTAAAGTTTTTAAAATTTTAATAACTTTCTCAAACTATCCTGGATTTCAACCAAACTTGGACAGAAGCTTGTTTATGATCATAAGATAATATCCAGAAGTAAACTAAAAAAAAAAAAAAAAATCCTGTTTTTCCGTATTTTACTTATAAATGGACTTAGTTTTTCTGCCAGGAAACATTACATTCACTCTGTGGTTAAAGTTTTAAAAATTTTAATAACTTTCTCAAACTATCCTAGATTTCTACCAAACTTGGACAGAAGCTTGTTTATGATCATAAGATAGTATCTAGAAGTAAATTTAAAAAAAAAAAAATCCTGTTTTTCCGTATTTTACTTATAAATGGACTAAGTTTTTCTGCCAGGAAACATTACATTCACTCTGTGGTTAAAGTTTTTAAAATGTTAATAACTTTCTTTAACTATCCTGGATTTGTACTAAACATGGACAGAAGTTTGTTTATGATCAAAAGCTAGTATCTAGAAGGAAATTTTTATTAAAATTTTGTACTTGTTTATCCGTATTTTACTTATAAATAGACTTAGTTTTTCTTCGAGTTAACATTACATACAGTCTGCAGTTAAATTTTTTAAAACATTTATTAGATTCATAAACTATCCTGGATTTTTACCAAACTTGGACAGAAGCTTCATACAATAAAAAAAATTTTCGAGAGGAAAATTTTTATTAAATTTTTTCCGCATCTCATTTTTGTTGAACCTGCGATTAACAGCAAGAGTAGGCGAGACACTGGGTTCCGCGGAACCCTTACGAATTTTTTTATTTGAACATGTTTTTTCATTAACTTTTAAAGGGTGTCTTTTACATGGTAAAGTTACACTACTGTCTTATGGTATGTATGTAAATTCTTTTAAAACAGATGTATTCATAAGCACCCCAAGTCAGAAGCATGTTGTTTAGTGGGTTTTTTTGGTGCAGTTCATATTTGCTTTTTGTTTCTGGTTTGAAGTTAAATTAGATTTGATTTTTCCTGTTTGAATTGTTTTATAACAGTGTCTTGGGGCCACTAGTAGGATACAGTTCAATGTGAGCCAAGCCTTTGTGTTGAAGGCTGTATTATAACCTATAATTGCTTACTTTGACTACACTGGGTCTTGATGGAGAGTTGTCTCATTGGTTTTCCTACCACATTTAAAACAGATATTCCCTCTGACATTTGACAAATCCATTAGAATAATCTAAATATTGAAATGGAACTGAAGTTGCCTTGTAGGTTTCTTATATTGACCTATCCTTTTTCTCTCGTGCTGGATAGTTTTATACTAGTCATTTGGGGGCACTGTATACATAGCCTACTGATCACTGAGATGGCTTGTATTGAAAGAAAAATGTAACCTGTAAAATTTTGCTTAATTGTACCACATTGTGTCTTGAAAGGGAGTTGTGTCATTGACATTTATACCACATCTTCTGATTTTTATATTAAAGCAGTTTTGAATGAAAAAAATCCTTGATTTCCAATATTGATTTTTTTTATTTAACTCTAATTAGTCGATACTAAAGAAACTAATTCCTCAATTATATATGTCATACAATGTCATGTTTCTTGCTGCTTCTATGTTTAAGTGAAAGAAATCGTAAATGCAAACAACAAAGCAATTTAATACCAATAATATTTTATTTTAAACAAACATTCAGACACATACAATGTATCAATTTATATGCAAAGATATTACTTGAACAAATTTTGATTTTGAATCTTGAAGTTAATTGGGAAAGTGTTTAAGTAAGAAATTGGCTTAGATATTGAATTTTTTAACTGGTTATGAAATCCTTTTCTCTGACAGATTAATCATAATTAAGCAATAAACTTGTGTTCTAATAATCTTAAACTCTAGTGTCCATGGTATTACTATAATGTGCACTATAAAGTACAAATTAATAACACTCGTCAATTAAAGTAAGGTTCAATTATATATTTACACGTATGATAAAATAGTATACATGTTTTAAGCAATAATGATCTGCATTTCACTTGTGACGATTTTTTCTTTCAATTGCACCATTTTTATACGAGAGCATGACATATGTAAGGTATCCTAAAGTATTTAACGACTAAAAAAACCCATTTAAAAACGTAATTATAATAAGAAAAAAAATCATTAACCTTGCAAGATCTTTCTATGATTTTTTTAGTATTTATATTGTCTTTCTATTTTTTTCAAATTAGATTACTAAAAAATCATTTGAATAGGCTATTGTCTCATTCGTAAAGTCTACATCTCACTCCACCTGCATGGACTTTCAATGCAGCCAATATGTCAACATATGGTAACAACAGGCGTCACTCTATATAATTAAGATTCTCTCAGTATCAATTATAAATAATTGTATACTCACTTACTGTCTTGTAATCTAATTAATTAGTACAACAACCGATTTGATTTTGCAACACAACTTTAACATCACAAAGAAACACTTACAACCCATACACCGTAGCTGTTATATAAGACATCAGAGAAAGTTTAGTTTACACAGTTATGAGAACAGTTGACCAGGAGCTTTTAATTAATTAGATAACGCGTTTACATCGGTACATTATCACAATGGTCACACAAAGCTCTTGTGGTCAAAATTATAAAAATATAACATAAATAAAACAAACTTCAAAATTTCCTAAAAACTATTTTACATGCATAAAACCTAAGTATCAATTATCCTGTCGTCTTTCAAAATCTCCTTGCACTATTTTACATTTTCATATTTGAATAATTAAAACCGAAAATTCATCATCTGATCGTTTTCAAGAAATAATATTTTTTTTTTTTTATTTTGACGAACATTTTGAAGCGCCTTAATTACTACAGGTTAGATAATCTGTTCCCTGGCTCAGATAACTATAAATAGAAATTATTTTTTCTTATCTCTGCCTGCATCTGTCATCACTCGGTGTCTATAAATAGACATTTGATATCTTATCGCTGACCCTGTTAAGTCTGCTGAAATTGCATGGGATGATTAATTTTAAGGTTATCGATCGTAATTAAAGCGGCACATTTAATTCGTTATTTCATTGCTTGAAGCAGAGACATATAATACATTATTATACATTATATTATATATTGTCTCTGCTTGAAGTATCATTTCTTTCATCTGCATGGTCAAATGTATTTTTTTAAAAATATATTTTAGATTTAGATTTCAGTTTTAGTTTTTTTTTTCATATTCAATATCTATTTATTCACATTCTAATAACGAAAAAGGATCCAGATATACCTATAACAATCTGATTTGTTATTTTAATCAAGGAGGTTATATGACCTCCTTGTTTTTTAAAAAGGAAATAATGTTGCAATATTTAAACAGGGAAAATAACTGTATTTCAATTTGCCATGTACTTTCATAATTAATTTAAACATTATTTTTAATAAACGATATTTTTTTCGAAAAAATCCTCGTTTTTTACATCCATTCAAGGAGGTATAATAGATTATATACGTCCTTGTTCTATTCTAGACGTAAAATTTTAATAAAGTGCATGAAAGACTTCTTTTTAATTTCAGTGTAAAAAAAAAATGAATAATGAAGCCTACTTTGTACATCAAGTACATCTTCCCCAGACTCAAAATCTTAAATGAAATGCTAGTAATACTTCTTTTATAGATTTTAATTTTAACGATTCTCGTTCCGAATATAAATCGCATTGTTTACATGAAATCTTATCTCATATCTAAACACATCTAGTTTCAACGTTCGACTCTAATTAAAATAAGTACGCATATATGTAGGTAAATATTAGCAGCTTGTAATTACGTGCAAGGAAGTATTCAAATGCTTATTAAAGTAGCTTGCATCAAAAGATTCATAATAAATTTCGCATCATATGTAACATATCTCTATAGCAACTTTAAGATGCTAATGCTTATTCAACAGGTCAATTAATAAGCTATTGCGCATGTGTATGAAAGGTGGTCATAGAAAGAACAGATGTATTCTGAATAACATCTGGTGTTCCGAAAGACTACGGACATCGTCCAATATATACTGCGTAAACCCTCAGGGGTTTACGCAACAACTGTAGTCATCAATCAAGTTTGACTAAAAGTTAAGAGACTGTGCTGTATTGATCAGTGGTTGTCAGAAATCCTAAAAAAAAAATTATCCATGTTTTCCTGGACAAAACATAGTAAGATGGATATTTCTTGTGTTCAAATTCAAATTTATCGTGAATTTTGGTTGTATTTTTTGTCACAGTAATGTAAAAGTTTATTGTATGAATATTATAATAATGTAATGTCTGCAAAGTTTAAGACTTCAATTCCAAATAATTCTAAAATTGCAACATGTGCAAAGGCAGATATTTTTTTACAGAATAAATTTCTGTAGACTCATGGACAATGCAGCTTACCACATCAACCAGCAACACCCAAAAGCTCCAGATGTCATAGATTTATTCAATTTTGATGTGAAAATTTATGATTCTACGAAATGACAAATTAACTGAATATTTACTGATACAAATTTAATGAAATTTTTGATATGACCAGAATATTTCTTCATTTTCCATTCCAAGAGAACTTTGTGAAATAAATACAATAAAGAATCATTGAGTTTCAGAAGTTAATGCACTGTTTTTATTCAAGGGATAAATGCGTTTCCATTTTAATTTTAATGGTAGTATATTCTATAACATGTAAAGTAAGAAAATTTAGCAATATTCCATAATCATCAGTTGTTGAAGATGTACATTCTAACTATCTAGGTAATTCCATCCACTACACCAGATGGCAGTTTGATTTATATTTTATATTTATACAGCTATTGGCAGAGTAGGAATCAGACACTGTTACACAAACTCACGACCTAACCTGCTGGTCAACAAACATACAAAGGTCATATGCCAAGGATTTACAGGCAAACAGGTACAACTATCTTCAATTTGTATTTTATCAAAAACTTGAGTTTTTTTCCAGAGTATTATTGCAATAATCTGTTAACATTCCCATTAAAACAATTTTTTTCCTAAATGTTGCAATTGATGGTTACCCAGCAATGTAGTCAAATGATTTCTGTATGCATAGTTAATAAGAAACATCTTATAAATAATTTTCAAATGTTTCATGATGATTTTCTATGACCTTCTTAACCACACATGCATGAATTTAGCCCTCAAATGAATCTGTTCATGTTGGCATATAAAAGTTGTGTAACATGTATAATAAAAATCTTATGAAGCTGGTTGGATGAACTACAAGTTGCCACATTTTTTTCCGAGTTCCACGAAGCTATGTACATGTATAACATGTACAAGTTTAAACGAAACAGATTTTCACATTATTTAAGGAATATCAATGAAGCTTCACATAAAAGGTACATAAAGCTGCAGCAGATGGAAGTGTTCATGAAGAGAGAAAATTATTATACAGCATATAGCCATTTAGTGAAAAGAGAGGGTTTGGGCTTCCGAGGTTATAAATTTGGTAGCCAATGATTCAAATTATATCTATTCCCTAACATGTACAATGTATGATATAAACTACCTTAAAGGTCATAGTAAGACCAAAGACAAGTGGTATAATGTATCAAGAGAAAAAAGGACAGAAAAAGATAAGATGAAATGACCAGACATGTACTTAAATGTATCAAGAGAAAAAAGGACAGAAAAAGATAAGATGAAATGACCAGTCATGTACATATACTATATATTTTTTTTACCTTTAATGAACAAAAGGGCTTACATATGTGTTAAAATGTGGTTAAAAGTCATTCTGGATGTTGTTTTATATTTAAAGGGAACATTTCACAGTCAGCAAGCTCTTGAATATGGCACTAAAATGGTTGGAGGTGTGTCTCCAGGAAAAGGAGGACAAAAACATCTTGGACTTCCTGTGTTCAACTCTGTTCAAGAGGTAAGTGTGGAGTAAATTGATCAAGAGGAGTTAGGACTATGAAACATTAGAAGTGAAGACAAGAAAACATGAGGAATTTAGATAATCAAATATAAGAAGTGAAGATCAATAGTAGATCAAGAGCTTTAAGCTGGTTTTTTTTGTGGTGCCATTGTTTCTTCATGGATACTTCCGGTATGTCTACCTGTTCTGGTCTCAACAGAGACTTATATAGCTATGTCCCTTCCAACATTAACCCCATATCACCTTTGTTTAATTTGCACATTTTTGTTACTTTGTTTACAGTCTTATATTTACCTTTTACTAATGTAGTTACTTAATTTAAAACTTTATTAAAAGAGCTCAGGTCATAAAGGAAAGTAAATTAAATAACGTCATGCACATGTCTGACTAAAAGTATCTACTATATCCTTATGTTTCTCATTTTGGAAACAAGAAAGAAATTGGTAGATTAGAAATTGCACTTAAAAGATGGATCCATAGAGGCATGCGACCTCCAACAGTTAGAAAACAATTGTGCATGTGCTTTCTTCAAAGGTCATGTTGATGGGTGATTAAACAGCGTCCTGTCCTCATATTGATACTTTATAACAATTCCATATAAAAAAAGATGTGGTTTGATTGCCAATGAAACATCTCTCCACCAGAGATCAAAGGATGTAGATGTAAACAACTATAGGTCACCATATGGCCTTCAACAATGAGCAAAATATTATCATACATTGTAAGTTATATAGGGCCCCTTCTTGATATGGATCGCAAGCCATTTTTATATTTATTCTATTTTCAAGGTATCTTATAAATTCAAAAAAGAAATGTCTTAAACTGAATAAAATATCTTATAAACTAAAAAAAGATATCTTTTAATTTAATAAGATGTCTTATTAAACAGTCTATAAAGATATCTTATTTAGTTTATAAGTTATATTATCTAGCTAAAAAAATATGTTGTTTATTTTTAATGATATCTTGTAAACTGTATAAGATATCTTATATATCTTTTATTTTTAACATATTTTATAAACTTAAAAAGATATCCTATAAAGTAAATAAGATATCTAACTAAATCAGATATCTTTTAACATATATAAGATATATAATAAACTAAAAGATTTCTTGTTTTATTTGTGAGATGTTTTATTCAAGTTGAAGTTAATAAGATATCTTAAACATTAAATCACATATCTTTAAAAAAATTAAGATATCTTATAAGTAAATAGAGATATTTTATAAATTAAATAAGAAATTAAATAAGATATCTTATAAACTTATAGAGATATCTTTAAAGCTAAATAAGATATCTGATAAATTATTAAGATATTTGATAAATCAATCATATAGAATATCTTGTATTGCTTGTAAGATATCTTATAAAGTTAACAAGATATGTAATAAAGTTAATAAGATATCTTATATACATTTAAAGATATCTTTTATATAAAATATACAAGATATCTCGTATAGTATTTGCTTAAAAGATATCTATTAAATTTAATAAGATATCTTTTAAAGTATTAACTTCTAATTAGATAAGATATCTTAAATAGAATACAAGATATCTTATATACTTTATAGATATCTTATTTACTTTATAAGATATCTTGAAATTGAATAAATATAGAAACGGCTTGCCATAGATATAATGTAAATGCTTTGTTTATTGTTTTCTATGAAAACCTTGGATTTCAGATATTCGGTTAACTTTGCTTAAAATCAAATTTCAGAGTCTGACTCAATTTACTGGATGAATTTGGCAGCTAGTGCTGCTTTAACTGTAATCATATATAATTGATTAAAAATTTGAAATAACACTTTAAAAATTTGGGGCATCCATAGGGCTTTCCTGGATCTCCTTCATTAGAAATGCCTAAGTTAAATAATTATAGTCAACTACTCTTGTTTTATTAAAGACAGAAAAACAACATAGTATTAATATTTTGGGGTCTCCTAGGTTCCTACAATTTTTTTCACATAAATATTTATCTAATACTTCATTTTATTTCCGTATGTTGAATTTTTATAAGAGAAAAACAAACAGTGACTTTTATTGATCTACTTTTGTCTTCATTAACAGGCTGTTTTTGTTTTTCTTGATTTTTAGAAGCTATATAAACGACAAAAGAACATTGACCCTTACACTGTAATGATACAGTAAATATTATACATTAATGATCCGTTGATAGAATTAAAGAGCATGATGAAATAATGATGATAGAACATTTAAAAAACTTACTAATAACAACTAAGAATAATTTGTTTGTCAAAAAAACTTACCAGTAACAACTAAGAATAATTTGTTTTTCAAAAAAAACAATTAATTATTATACTTCTTAAAACAAGGGTTAACTTCAACCAGATAATAAATGTCTTTAAAAATGAACTGTTAAGGAAAGATTGTTTTTTTATTTTAATGAAGACATTGTTTTCCAGGGAAAAATATATTGTCTCCTTTAGCCATTAAACATGTTTAAAAAAAAAACATTAATAAATTTCAAATAAATTATTAGACTATCTACAAATGAGGGGGGGGGGGGGGGGAGTTGGAGGGGTCTTGATCCCGAAATCCAGGGCTTAAAAACATGAAATCCAAAGGTCCCAAATTTAAAGAAGTTTAAATCCCGACATCCCGAAATTCGAAAAAAGAATTCCTGGATCCTGAAAGGATCAATCCCGAAATCCCGAGCTTAAAAACACCCGATCCCGGAGTCCCGATAAAGGTCCGACCCCCCTCTCACAAATGATCACAGAAAAAAATATGAAACTGTTTTCATGCAATATATAAAAAGCACTTGATTGTAAATATAGATAACCATTGATGATGAATACACCTATTAAACATTTACAACATATGTATTTGACAAGTGTTGGTTTTAAAGTGCGTTAACAGTTTATTTCCAGCTTTTTTTTTAAATTTCAATCAGAAGAATATTCAGTCTGTGCCAAAAAATTCATGTGACTAACCATTTAGCTAGTGACCAGCAATGGTTTAAGAATAAAAAACCAATTTTCCCAATAGTGAAAAATATCTAGATGCAGTAAGATTGAATTGATATAAATTAATAATTTTTCCTGTATTTAAAACAGTTGATCATCAGTTATTTCTTTGTCATCCCCGTTTTCACCACATTAATTTCTAGAAGCAGTAAGATTGAATTGATATAAATTTTAATATTTATATTCACTAATAAATTTTCTTTCAACTATATATTATAATTGGTTTTATCATTTATTGTCTGAGATGTAACATTAATCATCACTGACCTGCAGTTAAAAGATCGCTATCTTAAAAATAACTATGTTTTTATTTATATGTACTTTAAGAAGAAAATTGGTTACAGTTGAAAACATTTTTTGTGATCCCGAGTATATCTAAAGACCGATATATACCTTGGATGGTCGTTCCTGCAGTCAGGAACGGCAGATTGCTCTTCTAGTGTGAATAGTCGTCTGTAATAGCCATTGTTTCAACCGGAAGAGAAGGATTTCTGGGTAGTTCTTCAGACATCTCTAGATGGTCTGTCTGATGACCTAAAACTAACACTACGAATACTACACTCCCCCCAGTTTTATTAATAAGGCCCCCTCTACTGAGGTGGGCCCTGTGAATTTCGCCAAAAATTAACAAAATACGGAAATCATACCAAATTTAGAGAAAATATGCATCCCTTTATAATAAACAGTATACACCCTATCCCCCCAACCAGACCCTTTGTATCCATGGGTCTACTGATACACTAAAATTTAGTACAATGGGTTCCCAACAAATCGGGAACCCAGACAACTGTAAATTGTTCTTCTCTGGATTGTATGCCACCTCTTCCCTGTCTTTATACAAACTAAGACCGGGCCACTTAGTGGCTGCATGTCCTCTGTATAGTTGGACCCAGTAGGTAGTGCTGATCCATTCTCCATCGTGAAGAGTTTGATCTCATTTTTCCTCACTTGCACTCTATTTATACCTTTGTTAACGTAGGGAATTCCAGGGTCCCACTGTCTTCTGTTGGGACCTGATCTAACTGTGACATTGCTCACACAAAAGACTGGTGTCCCACTGTCTACTTGTGGCGGCTGCAGATTAAAATAACTAGTGCCCACATTATCTGCTTTAAAAAGTGACCACAAACTCAACCTTGGGTTTTCTGGATTAACGGATGCCGATAATAAGTCCTTGTCACATAAAGATTCTATACTAATGGCTGTTCCTTTGTTGATTGGACTGTTGTTTTCAGTTGTGGCCTTTTTGTTAATTGCTCCCGTGGAGGACCCTGTAGATTTTCTGTCAATTTCTCCAGTTGAGGAAGGGTCCACAAAAGTGATGGGTGTGCGACCTTTTTCAGTATTGTCAGTCATTCCGCCGTCAACTAAAGGAGTAGGACATGTCGAACCCTGGTATTGCGGGCAAACTGTGACTATCTTCTCATCGCTGGCTCTTTCTATCAAAGTGGTATCTGCCTCACCATCTGAGGTGGAGTCCCAACTCTCTTGGGTCTCCTCATCATTTGCGAAAGTTGTCTCTGTTGTGGCAGCACATGTGTTTGCAAGACTTTTTAATAAGTAGCAGTCCAATCTGCCTGAAGGAGCTGCCTCCCCGTCAGAATTGGAGCACTGCTCTGACTCAATCTCTGCTCTAACCTTCACCGACACACTGGATTCTCTGTTCCCCTCTCTGTCCCTGGCACCTACCCCTGGGCCCACTATAGCTACCTCCGCTACTCTGCCTTGGGGTACAGACTCAACTACTGAGAGGCCTAACTTCATTTGCAGGGACACACTCCGGCCTCCTGAGTAGTCCCGTTTAAGTTTAATGGTCCTGTTGCAGTTCTGCTTAACTGATTTATGAAGGTAACAGTTTTATCCCTCCCCTGTAAATCCAGACAGTCTCTCCTAACATGTCCAGGCTTTAAACAGTGGTAGCACACTCCCTCCAATGGAGGCCCTCTATCAGTGGAGGGACTCCCTGAGACGGACTTACCTCCAAAGTTTGGGCATTCCATTTTGAAATGGCCCCTCTCCCCACAGTGGTGGCAACTTTCTGTCCCTGTCTGTCTGCCAGGTGAGCAGCTTCCTGCAATGGGGTTTGTGAGGAGTTGCTTGAATTGGTCCATCATGTCGTCTAATTTTTCATGGACTTGACCAAGTTTGTTTTCAAACTTCTTATCAGACTTTTCTAACTCCACTTTCCATGTACTGACTGGGGCCCTCTCAAGGGCCATGGTAGCCCTTACATGGGGCCCCTGATACTCATGGAAGGCCTCAGGGTGGTCTTCATACTGCCCATCAGTTACCTGCCTAACGTCACGCCGATTTGGCTTGCCATATATTGCCTGGGTGTTATGTTGGAATAGCCGTATTTTATCTATGGCCTCCTCAATACTTTGGGGCTGAAGGTTAGAGACTTGCACCCCCAACTGTTTGTTTTCAATACCCTGGCACAGCCGTGTTATGGCTTGCTCGTACATGTAATCGTCAGGAAGGTTTCTAAATGCCTTGGTCGCTAAGGACAACACCCGATCAGCCCAGTCCTCAACAGACTCCTCAGGGGCTTGTCGGGCATTGTTAAACTGGACCCGGGCAGTCTCGGGGAGCGCCTTGAAACCAAAACGCTTGTGTAGCTTCTCCACAAGCTCCCTATAACTGACCTTCTGGTCTCTTTCTGTTATGAGGGCATAATACTCACTGGCTTTTCCCTCAAGACACCAGCAAAGTTGGTCCTTGCATTCTTGTGGACCCCATTCACAAACCTCCGCATACCTTGCAAATTTTGTGAAAAAGGCCTGCCAGTTGCCCTTCCCGTCATACTTAATATTTTTTGGGGCATTGGTAACTTTAGAGACGCCACCTGAAGTTCCTTGTGCCCCACCTCTGCTGTCGGGTCCCCTTGTGTTTTCCCTAGGCCTATCCTCAATATATGGTACTTGGTAGGCCTGTTGCCCATAGCTCCCCCCTGCGGTGACCCCTTGTGGGGGCACTGGCGTATACCCTTGATTATACTGGTTCTGGGGTTGCCTATCCCCATAGGCACGGGATGGGGTCTGCCTTGTGTCCTCACCCCTATTGTCTTGCCTCTCTCCATAGATTTTTGATGGGGCCTGCCTTGTGTCTTCGCCCCTATTGTCTTGCCACTTGCCATACCTACTGCAGGGTGTCTCATACTGTACCCCACCAGTGTGAGCTGGTTGGTTACAGGGTGCTGACCCCTGACCTGCATAGTTGCTTATGTGACCCATGGGGTATGAAGGTATTTCCCCATAGGTCGGTTTATTTTTGTCCCACGCACTGTCTTTACCTGGCCAATACGGCTTGTTCCTAATAATACCTCTGTGGTGAGGGGGATAACCCTTTTTGTCAAGCCTTCGACTTTAGTCGAAAAAGCGAGACATAGCGATCCTACATTCTGTCGGCGTCGGCGGCGGCGTCCACAAATATTCACTCTGTGGTTAAAGTTTTTGAAATTTTATTAACTTTCTTAAACTATCCTTGATTTCTACCAAACTTGGACAGAAGCTTGTTTATGATCATAAGATAGTATCCAGAAGTAAATTTTGTAAAAATAAAATTCCTGTTTTTCCGTATTTTACTTATAAATGGACTTAGTTTTTCTGCCGGGAAACATTACATTCACTCTGTGGTTAAAGTTTTTAAAATTTTAATAACTATCTCAAACTATCCTGGATTTGTACCAAACTTGGACAGAAGCTTGTTTATGATCATAAGATAGTATCCAGAAGTAAATTTTGTAAAAAATAAAATTCCATTTTTTCCGTATTTTTCTTATAAATGGACTTAATTTTTCTGCCAGGAAACAATACATTCACTCTGTGGTTAAAGTTTTTAAAATTTTAATAACTTTCTTATACTATTTTGGATTTGTACCAAACTTGGACAGAAGCTTGTTTATGATCAAAAGCTAGTATCTAGAAGGAAATTTTGTAAAAAAATAAATCCATTTTTTCCTATTTTACTTTTAAATGGACTTAGATTTTCTGCCAGGAAACAGTATATTCACTCTGTGGTTAAAGTTTTTAAAATTTTAATAACTTTCTTATACTATTTTGGATTTGTACCAAACTTGGACAGAAGCTTGTTTATGATCAAATGCTAGTATCTAGAAGAAAATTTTGTTTTCTTCCAGTTAACATTACATTCAGTCTTCAGTTAAAGTTTTTAAACATTTATTAGATTCATAAACTATCCTGGATTTTTACCAAACTTGGACAGAAGCTTCTTATAATCAAAAGATAGTATCAAGAGGAATATTTTTATTGATTTACTTCCTCATTTTTGTTGAGCCTGCGATTAACAGAAAAAGTAGGCGAGACACTGGGTTCCGCGGAACCCTTACGAATTTTTTGGGTCACCAATTTGGTGACTCCACTCTTTTTTCTGCAACTGTTCCCTGTAGCCCCCGTCCCAATTCCCTGTGGGTTCGGGTCTAGCTTTAGCATCCCCGGGATATGGACTATATTCAAGGAAGGCAGAGTCCATCTGGCTGGGCCCTTCTGAGGGCCCGGGACTTTGCCCCTGGTGCCATGCTTCTTGCCTAAATGCAGATTTGCCTTGTACTTGGGATGGTGTTCCCTGTGGGGCAATGTGTCCCCAGTCTATGAGAGTGTTTTCCCTGTCTAACATCTCACCATGCCTGCCTTGGAGCTGAGGTGGTGGCCCAATATTTTGGCCACCTCCATTTGGGCTGAAGTCCAGCCTGGATAAGAGGCCCCTTGTTACTCGTAGGTGGGAGATTGTGGCCAAGTCTGACTCGGTCACAAAGCCCCTGCTCTCCCTAATGTCCATTATTTGCTCCCCAGTTTTTATGCCTATACCCGGGAGCTGGAGTAACTCTTGAAAGCTACAAGTGTTTAGGTTTACAACCGACATTTGTAACTGTGAATCACTGAACAACAATTTATAACAAAGTTTATTAATTTAAAGAATAAACAACAACAAACAACACACTTAGAATACCACAAGTTATTTATTTAATAACACGAAAACTTCTGGTTCGGGTAACCCGTCCTTCTGGTCTGCGGTTAACAGAAGTAAACAAAACAATAACACAACGACTGGTAACCCGTCCTTCTGGTCTGCAGTTACCTGAAAAAAAAAAACAATAACAAGACGACTGGTAACCCGTCCTTCTGGTCTGCGGTTACCGGTGACTGGTACCCAGCTGTCCCTTCAGGGTCAGCAAGGTCACCTGTCGTCTACTTGAACAATCCTTTCTCCTAAACTACCGTGAAGTATTCCTCCAAAATACTCCACGAGTGCCTGAAATGATTTACTCCCTCGCTGGAATAAACCAAATCACCTTTCCCCCTCCTGCCTTACTATTTTTGCCGTCCACAACCGGCCGGCAAAAACCTTAAAAAAAACCCTAAAAGCTCTGACACTGCCCGCTAATTGCTCGCAGCGCCAATGTTGTGATCCCGAGTATATCTAAAGACCGATATATACCTTGGATGGTCGTTCCTGCAGTCAGGAACGGCCGATTGCTCTTCTAGTGTAAATAGTCGTCTGTAATAGCCATTGTTTCAACCGGAAGAGAAGGATTTCTGGGTAGTTCTTCGGACATCTCTAGATGGTCTGTCTGATGACCTAAAACTAACCCTACGAATACTACACATTTTATATAATTTTACATGTATGGGTCAGTGTTTATATCCCTGCATCAGTGTTTTTTGCAGTGTACATTTTGTTGTTAATTTGCATGTGTATTTCAGGCAAGAGATCAGACCAATGCAGATGCCTCTGCCATCTACGTCCCTCCACCATTTGCTGCTGCAGCAATCATTGAAGCAATAGAAGCAGAAGTACCATTAATTGTTTGTATAACTGAGGGTATCCCACAGCAGGACATGGTTAAAGTCAAACATAAACTCATCCGTCAGTCTAAATCCAGATTAGTAGGTCCCAACTGTCCTGGAATTATAAAGGTATGTTGATCTGAACAAGATTTCGGTCAGTCTTTATGCAATTAGTAAGTCACAAATGTCCTGGATTTATCAAGGTATTATTGTCCTTACAACACTTTGTAAAACATGAATTCAAAAAGATTGAAATATTTCAAACTTGTCTCATTGAAAATGATTTAGACCAAATTTCCCCAGAACATATATTTACAATTAAAGTTTCCCAGTTGGAAGGTCGGGGCTTTATATTAAAATGCTAAATCAGCCTTGAGTCTAGAGTGAATTTAAAGTTTAACTATTAACTATCATTTCAAAGTCAGAGTATTAGTGTGACCATTCACTTAGTCATTACCACCTTATTGGTATTATTTAATGATCTGATTTAAAAAAAAAAAAGACGTCTTTTAGGGAACACATTGAGATTTAGAGATACATGTATATACCTCTTGATATACTTATGGTTGTTTGTTTTAGCCTGGTGAATGTAAGATTGGTATCATGCCAGGACATATACATAAAAGAGGGAAAATAGGTAGGTACATTTATCATACAGAAAACAGTACGGGAATAAATACCATAATCATTTCACACTTTATTTTGGTGTTTTTGGAAATAGACATATGACAATCATATCACATCTTCTTCAATTTACATATAGCAAAAATTTTAGCTGGGAATTTGGTTAAAACAGATATCAACATTAAACATGCAAACATTGATTGTATCATTTCATCAAACATCTAATATTTTATCAAGTTTTGATAACTTTATTTATAAATGTATCAAATCTACTTGACATCTGCAAAATTGCCAAACTTAAGGACTTTTCTGTCAGTACATAAAAGTACAGTCGATGTCATGGATTCGTTTTGTTCTGATATGAAATACAGTATGGCTGCATGAGTCAATCTTATAGATAAGACATTTTTTCTGTCATAAACCTCTTTAGGCAAAAAGTTGTACATGAAAAAATACTTATGTCTTGAACATTTCAAAAAAACTTTCGATTTCTCAGGAAAAGAACAACAAAAAAAAAACAGTAAATGGAAGGTTGATTGTAATATGTCTACAAATAAGCTGAAATTATTATTTGATGAGATTAAACATAAAAGATACATCTTCCTGTACGCATTAGCATTGTTATTGGTCAAATAGCTTTAGAAAATATAAATAAGGAGATGTAGTATGATTGCCAATGAAACAACTAATCACAAAACTTTAAATGAAGTGGATGTAAGCAATTATAGGAAATTGTATGGCCTTCAACAATGAGAAAAGCACATTTCATAAAGTTGGCTACCAAAGGCCATGACTCAAAAAATAGGAAACAATTCAATTGAGAAAACTAACAGCCTAATTTATAACAAAACAATTTATGAAAAACAAATATGACAGACATGAACCAACAACAACCACTGAACTACATGCTCCTGATGGGACAGGCACATACAGAATTTAAACATGTTTGTGAGCGCTCAACCGTTCCCCTACCTGGGATGGTGGTGTTACAGCACAACATAAGAACAAACTTTAAAAATCAGTTTGAAAGGGCTTAACTCATCAGATTGATACAAAGCAGAACTACATAGATCTAACAAAAGCACAGACTGGAGGTGGCAGGGTATTTATACATCCCTAACAACAAAAAAGACACAAATTACAGATCTTAAGAGTACCCACAGCTACTAACAGCTAGTTCAAAGCCAATAACAACTGATAAAAAAATCATGAATCTAAGACTAAATTATCAGTCAGTACACATCCAACATCCAGTGGATTTAGATTTAAGACGTCATAAATACTCAGAGAAAAACATGACTTTGTGCAATGCCAAAATATAGGTATCAACAGATTGTAGGACCGTGAATGTTCATAGGTGTATAACAATGATATTTAGTATGGTTTTAATTTACTGATAACAAAATCAATATTTATACCAATAAAAACAATATTCAAAGATCTAATTATAGTGTTGAATTGGTAACCTTTTAGAATAAGTATATTAAGAGGATTGATAAGTTTACCGGGATTGTATCTAAATTTCTGGGCTCGGTTAACAACATCACTGTAAAATTCAGAAGTTAATCACAAAATTCAAACTGTGTAAAAATAGAAGAACTGAGAAATTATGTATTATACATGTTATAGAAAACACAGAAACTGCTAATAACGTTATAACATTAACAATACTGTACCCAATTTACTGCACCAGATGCACATTTTGACAATCAATTTCTCTTCAGTGATTCTCGAGGCCAAAATATGTTAAAATCCAAAACCTAATGTAAACATTGAATAGCAGATAGAACCAAACATGTCCAAAAGTAAAACAAATTGTGTAACCTGATTAAAAAAAAATATATTTGTGTATTTTTAGGCATTGTTTCAAGGTCTGGTACCTTAACATATGAAGCAGTACACCAGACAACAATGGCTGGACTAGGACAATCACTGTGTGTTGGTATTGGTGGAGATCCTTTTAATGGAACTAATTTTATTGATTGTTTAGAAGTTTTCCTATCAGATCCACAAACAGAAGGTACATACATTATTTCCTTTTACAGCCTTATCATTCTTTCAAACAAAATATTTTTTAAATGGAGACTTCTTACCATTGAAATTTTGGACTCTGGATTTATTTATTTTCGTGGGCAAAATCTTTGGGTATTGAAGAAAAATTGTACTTCCATGGATATTTGATTTCATGGTTTTGTACATGTACTAAAAAATCCACATTATATGTTGAAGAAAACTAGAATCTCTAAAGAGCCTGTATCGCTCACCTAGGTCTATGTTCATCTTCCAACAATGGACACTCTCCAACACTAGACAAGAATAGAACTCATGACAAAAATCAATTTTTCTGTAGATCTTGTATAGTGGATAATTTTCTCTGATTTCATTTTTCTTTACCCTCTTCAGTTTTTGCCCAAAACACAAAAAGGATGAAACAAAACACTAATTTGTAGGTCTTGTCTTGCTGATCATTTTGGCTATTCAAAAGGTAATAATATAGTTTTTAATCAGATAGGCAAAAACACTAAAAATTGGTAAAAATCCTAATTAAAGAGCCCATTACTCCAATAAGGAGTCAACTGACAATTTTTGCTATTATACTTTTTTGTAGATGTTGTCGTCTTGATCATTTTTGCTTTTTAAAGTTTTAAGACAAAAACTAATAAATGGTAAAAATCAAACATGGCACTCAATATTCAAAAACAGATTTTTTTTCTTATTAAAAGATTAATAAATGACATGGAATTGCAACAACTTTATCAAGTACAGTTATCATTTCGATATTTCCTGCACACAAATGATGTTCTACTGGGATATCAGATTTACTTAATATTTTTAGAGTAAAAACATTAGAAAAGATGATAGGATAAGGCATGTTCAAAAAATTTTGTTTCATGAAAATTTTCAGTTGTATGGTACATGAAATCTGTCTTTCTGTTATGGTTTGAATTTAAACTGATTGCATTATTTAATGTATGGAACACAAATAAATGAAAACATGGCTGGTAGTTGTTAAAGTGTCAGTTCTGTTTATTTCACAAATTTAATATTTAATTTGTTTCCTGATAATACTTGATATTGTGTGGCTTCCTGGGTTATCAAAGTTTTACTAGACTGTAATTATAGAATGATTTTTATTGAAGACTGGACAAAACAATGTAATATTCTTTCATTATACATTTAGGAATAGTATTGATTGGAGAGATTGGTGGTGGAGCAGAAGAAAAAGCATCTGAATATCTTAGGAATAATAACTCTGTAAGTAAAAGTTTGTCTGCTTTAACTGAATAGTCTGAATACCCAAGCACTTGTATACTTGCATCCATTTATGTCTTAACCAGACATATCAAAATTACATTGGTAGCCTTCAAAACAAACAATTATGGCCTCATACTTGTCTTAACAATGAGGTATTAATAACTGTTCTTATCGTATTAGAAAGCTTTACATTTTACCAATGTTAAATTTCTGGAGCTACTGATATGATAGGGACTTATTCAAAATCAAAATCAATTTATTGCAACTGTCTTTTGTCTCCCATCAGAAAAATTCCGAGGCTAGACTTAGGTGTGCTACTTGAAGTGTTGGTGACATCAACAATGTGTTGAAGTTTTTGATTAGGTCAGTTTAATGGGAACCACTTATGGTGAATCAGTGGTACATGGTATGAAGTTGTATTAGCATTAGCACATTCTCATATCCATGGAGAACAAATGTATACATGTTACTTACGTGTACTGTCAATTCAAGCTGCGATATTGTGATTATTATTTATAAAAGCAGTCAAGTGAAAATTGTCTACTGTAACTAAAAGAATAAAACTATCAAAAAATCACTATCATTGTACTTAAACAAAGTATAGCAAAGTACTCCTAATTCTGTAAATCACAAAAATCGTTGGAATATTCAAAAATAAAGGTATGTGAGTTAAATGTCAATGTTACAGCCTCTCAACCAGTAACTTCATGGTTTTAAGCAATAACACATAAGGTAATGCCTGTACCAAGTCAGGAATATGACAGTTGTTTTCCATTCATTTGATGTGTCTGAGCTTTTGATTTTGCCATTTGATAAGGGACTTTCTGATTTGAATTTTCCTTGGAGTTCGGTACTTTTGTTATTTTACTTTTTGATATACACAACAGAACAGGCATATAAGAAGATCTGACATCAATATCAAATTTGTAAATGGACAAAAATAGAAGAAAAAAACAAATGTCCTGATTTAGGACATAACATAACAGACTGACAGAAATTTTATGTAAAAATCAAAGGGGACAGCAAAATAACTTATAAGAGCAGTAAGCTGTCTAAGAAGCTAATGTAGTTTGGTTAATATTTTCAAAATCATACACCAAAACGTAATGATTTGTTAGCAATACTAGAAATTCATACAATGTCCTACCATGATTTTCATTTTTGTGTTAATATAAGGAAATTCTGACAGTGAATTTGTACAGACATGACAGAAAAAGCATTAAATTTAAGAACACTTTAATCATGATAAATACAGATAACAATAACACAGGGGTAAATAAAATGAATACAATTTTATACCATATCAAAAGTAGGCTGGTTTATCTTAAATTTGGATTTAAAAACTTCCTTGGGAGGTTAAGGATTGTTTTCAATTCATCCCTTGTTTGCAGGGACCAAATGCCAAACCAGTTATATCCTTCATTGCTGGAGTAACAGCACCCCCAGGACGTAGGATGGGACATGCAGGAGCTATCATTGCTGGTGGTAAAGGTGGAGCGGAGGAGAAGATCGAGTCATTGAGAGAAGCTGGTGTAGATGTAACCATGTCTCCAGCTCAACTAGGAACTACTATGGCTAAGGTAATAATTGTACTAGGGGGGATTACATGGTGTAGATGTAACCATGTCTCCAGCTCAACTAGGAACTACTATGGCTAAGGTAATAAATGTACTAGGGGGGATTACATGGTGTAGATGTAACCATGTCTACAGCTCAACTAGGAACTACTATGGCTAAGGTAATAATTGTACTAGGGGGGATTACATGGTGTAGATGTAACCATGTCTCCAGCTCAACTAGGAACTACTATGGCTAAGGTAATAATTGTACTTGAGGGAGAGCTGGTGTAGATGTAACCATGTCTACAGCTCAACTAGGAACTACTATGGCTAAGGTAATAATTGTACTAGGGGGGATTACATGGTGTAGATGTAACCATGTCTCCAGCTCAACTAGGAACTACTATGGCTAAGGTAATAATTGTACTTGAGGGAGAGCTGGTGTAGATGTAACCATGTCTACAGCTCAACTAGGAACTACTATGGCTAAGGTAATAATTGTACTAGGGGGGATTACATGGTGTAGATGTAACCATGTCTACAGCTCAACTAGGAACTACTATGGCTAAGGTAATAATTGTACTAGGGGAGATAAGCTGGAGTAGATGTGACCATGTCTCCAACTCAACTAGGAACAACTACGGCTAAGGTAATAATTGTACTAGAGGGAGAGCTGGTGTAGATCATCATCATAAGATGTAACCATGTCTCCAACTTAGCTAGGAAGAACTATGGCTAAGGTAATACTTGTACTAGGGGAGATTAACTGGTGTAGATGTAACCATGTCTCCAACTTAGCTAGGAAGAACTATGGCTAAGGTAATACTTGTACTAGGGGAGATTAACTGGTGTAGATGTAACCATGTCTACAGTGCAGCTGTGAACTACTATGGCTAAAGTAATAATTGTACATGTACTAAGGGGGGGTGGGAAATTCAAGTCAACATAATTGAAGTTGTTTGCCAGATGTTATGTTTTGGCATGCTGATAGATTTAACAACATTCCTTTGCTTGGTTAATGAAATTTTATTGTCCTCTTTAGTGTTTTCTTATTTTACAAATAAGCAGTTATTTTGGAGTACCTGTGCCCTTTCATTTATATAGTAGTCTAAATGTATCAGATTATAAATGTATACTGAAATCTGTTTTTTTTTCTGATGAAGTCATTTAGATGAATATTTATTAGAGTATTTTTATGTGACCTACGGTGGTCTGAAAACTGATAATGACCATGTTTATAAGCCTACAGACATTATGAAAATATTTTGCACATTATGGGGTTACTTGATTTTTACAAATTAATATCAAATGCTGGTTAAAAATACACAATAAACAATCTTCCGTTTCCATATTTATTATATTTGTTTACCTTTCTGTTTTTCAGGCTATGAAGGCAGCAGGGAAGTGACAAGTCAGACCCCTAAAGACATTTATAGACATTCATTAATAATTTAGACAAAGATTTTCTTGATTGTTATATTTATGAATTATGTGATAAATAAACTTAATATTTAGATGATTTGATTTTGCTCATATGGAATGGAACGAAAAAACTGTATTCAGTAAGCTTCTATGAAAGTTGACCATACATTAAATGCCAGATGTGTAATTTTAGACAAAGTTAAAAAAGTTTTTTTAGACAAAGTTTGCTATTTGCTAGAATTTGACTTATATAATATGGTAAGGAGTGGTTACATCAAAGGTTGTATACTCTTTAAACTGAGTTTTACTGTGCGTACTGTTGTGCGTTTGTTTTTTCTACATTGGCTAGAGGTATAGGGGGAGGGTTGAGATCTCAAAAAACATGTTTAACCCCGCCACATTTTTAGGCCTGTCCCAAGTCAGGAGCCTCTGGCCTTTGTTAGTCTTGTATCATTTTAAATTTTAGTTTCTTGTGTATAATTTGGAGTTTAGTATGACGTCCATTATCACTGAACTAGTATACATATTTGTTTAGGGGCCAGCTGAAGGACGTCTCCGGGTGCGGGAGTTTCTCGCTGCATTGAAGACCCATTGGTGGCCTTCGGCTGTTGTCTGCTCTATGGTCGGGTTGTTGTCTCTTTGACACATTCACCATTTCCATTCTCAATTTTATCTTGTATAATATAATCTAGGATTATATACAATTGCATACACATGGTCTGTAGGGAGTGTATTGGTGTTCATGTAAAAATAGTCAAAAAACAAATAGTCAACTAATGTTTGTTAAAGTTTCAAGATTTCATGAATGCATTGCATTTTAGGAACAAATTGATTTTTGCTAAATGTCCATTTAAGGAACTGGCATACATCATCTTAACCAGCATTCAGTCATAACTTTGACCAAGATTTCATGCTTGACTTTGAGTGAAAGTTTTTATCTGATGTAGCATTACCTAGGTATTGTAAATACTTTAGATGTAAGTGTACTCTTAGGAAAAGGTTATAGCCCAGTTAATTGTAGACCTACCTTTCATGCTTCATTTACTCTGTTCTTTAAGGATGTTGCTAGTATTGTTATTGACTTTTTGTCAGAAATTCAGATCCCTCTGGTTTTACTCGTGTGGAACCATTAAAATATTTTGCCCGCTAACCCCTACTTTTCTTTTTATATGACTGCAAAAAAATTTTTGGGATTGTATAATGGTATGATGTAGTCGTCGTAGTCTGCGTCGTCCGAAGATACATTGGTTTCCGGACAATAAAAGTTTCAAGAAGAAATCTTCAATTGCACAGTAATTCACAATAGATTTGTAAGATCTTGGACCACATTTATTTTGTGTCAGAAACCTATATTATGTCAAAAATTTGATGACAATCCAAATTCAGATAGTATCAAGCTTGAATATTGTGTCCAAATTTGCCCCAACTGTTCAGGGTTCAACCTCTGCGGTCGTATCAGGCTGTGCTCAGCGAAGCATTTTATTATTATTTAATTACATATTGAATAAAAGCAATTTTTTTAAATCCTATATTTAAATCCTTGTTACTTTTTCATAGTTTTGAAAGAGAAGAGGTGCAAATGTTAATTGTATGAAAAATCTAGAGAGAATCATTTCCCGCCAAATTTTCAATGGCTTATATCTCAAAATTAAGGACACGTACCTTGAATTTTTTTCTGATTTTTTAGCTCTGTTATATATATATTATCAATCTAAAACAATCTTTTAAAAAGCTTGTTATATTGAAACAGAGTAGCGAACACTCTCAATGAATCAAAAGTGTATTTTTTGGATACATAAAAAAGTTAAAGGTTCAAGGAGGTTATAAAAATCATGAATTACAGATAAGAAGTTTTCCAATTGCTTGAGGTGTATCCTCTCATATTATCACGTATTCATTCTTTAGATACATGTAACTTCTCTTACATGTGTGCTATTTCATACTCTCATATTCAGCCAGTTTGTTAGTTGAAATTGGTATTCAGTCCACCAAATTATGACGTATTCATATATGTATTTTTCTGAATATTTGATTACATGGTTTTGTAAAAGTCTGCATATAAGCCTATTGAAAATTTTGTACTTTTTTGAACATTTAAATCAGTGGTTCACGAAATCCATGAAAATTGGTCTCCAACGAAAAAATTAAATGAATCCACAGTATTTATGACAATATTTGTTAGATTTCTCTGCCTCTTATAATTTATAAATTTTTTATATATATAATCCTGCAGCTATGTTCAAAAATTTGATTTTTTTCTTAGATATTGATCACATGCAGTGTACAGTGAACTCACACTGGTGCAAATTAAACTTGCTGTTAGGTGAGAGTTTTTACTCAATGTTGAAGACCTCACTGTGACATTGAGATGAAGAACAGCAATTTGGTACAAGTGCTGTAAAATTACTACAAAAAGAGCAGATTGGTTAAATAAGAGTGCACACACTGAAATGTCTAGCCTGCCTTAGTTTGATCATGATTGAATTTATGTTGAAAATATGTGATATGAAGGTTTTACTGAAATTTTCCAATGAAATAAGCATTATCAATGATCATTGTAAATGAAGTCAAGATCAGAAGAACCCTGCCAGACAGACATGTACACCTTACAATCAAACCATACACCAAATATAGTTTATCTATTGCTTGTGGTTTCTGAGAAAATTCAACATAGACCACTGAACTATGAAAATGAAGACAACATAAGATTGATTGATTGATTGTTGGTTGCTTAACGTCCAGTGGCAAATATTTCATGCATATTCAGGACGAGAACAAATTAACAATAAATACAATAAGTAGGTTCTGTAATAGGGGCGTTCGGGGTTAAGGTAGACGAAATTTAGACTGCCACGGGAAATGAGGGAATATTGGATAGGGACAGAAATTTAGCCTTGCAACAGGTCACCTACGGACCCCTCAAAGAGTTGTTGCAAGGGTTCTTAACGTGCAAAGAGCGTGGCACTCTCTTTACACGAGGCATCGGATTTAACGTCCCCATTCTGACCGGACGTGGCTGCAAATTTGTACATCCCGCACAGCCAAACGGACGCCCCACTTTAGCAAGGGTTTTACTGCCGGTCGGAGGAAGACCAATGGCGACCATACTTCTATTCCCCAGTCACCCTTGGGGGTAGTCAACATAAGATGAACCATGCCAGATAATATTAACACCATGCAAGCATTCCATACACCAAATATAGTTGACCTTATGCTTACAGTATCTGAAAAACAAACATAACCATGAAAACTTTACATTGACTAATGAACTATGAAAATGAGGTCAAGGTCAGATGAAACCTGCCAGACAGACATCTTCACATTACAATCATTTTTTACACCAAATAAAGTTGACCTATTGCATATAGTATTTGATAAACAGACAAAACCATGAAAATGAGATAATATTGGAGAAATTCACAAGACAAATAAAAAAAAAAAATTTGAATCTGTTGCTCAACCAAAAAAAGGTCAAGGAGAATGGACATATGCCAGACGGAATCTTCATAACATAAGGAATTGCATACAAGGTATCCAGAATCCAGGTCTTCTATCTTCTAGGGATCATAATGTTGCAAAAACATAATTAGTTAACATAACAAGCTTTAAACACAATTGGGAGAAAACCATACCCCTAAAGACCTGCTCTGAATGGGTTTTCATGATCAATTTCAGAAACGTTTGTCAAAACTATGCTTAGATAACAGGTGAGCAATATAGTCTCATTTGAACTTATTGTTTTGAGGTTAAGATATAACAGTAAAGATCAATCAAAACAAAACATTTAATTAGAATTTAGACAAACAAATTACAAATTATATGTAACAAGTAAAACTATATAAACTGTAAAACAACAAGAGTATACGAGTACACAAAAATACATTTTGTTCGTTCTAATAAGCTAGATAAAAAAACAGTTGACATGTTAGTACTACTGGAGTGTTTAACGACCTTGACTCTCTATGAGGGTCTTGCACAGTCAGTCACCATGTAAGTAAAAATATATCACAAGCCATTTTGATGATACTGATACATAGATGGAAATTTTCAGTTTTGAATACTCTTCAAATTCATATAATTGATTTTTCCTTTCAACAGGTTTGATTCAAGCGCCACTAATGAGTCTTATGTAGACTAAACACAAGTCTGGCATACTTACTTGTCAGACTGCATTCTTTATGACATTATATATAACCCTTAAGCGAAGCCTTGGGACACAACAAAATCAAATTATACATAGCAAGTCATGATACAACAAAATAACTACTGAGTGTTTAACTGTTCGTCATGCAGTATATTTTGTACTACTAGAAAATACTTGGAGGTTGTATTCAAAAAGTATTTACATACAGTCATGTTTTAATGTTTACTAGAATGTATCTATTTTATTTTTTATATTTGTTTTCCTGGCTGGCACGTTCTACTGTAAGTATGTGTATCTTTATCCTCTTTTTAAGTATTAAAAGCATAAAAGGCCGTACAGTGACATATGGTTGCCACCTATGTCATTTGGTCTCTGGTTGAGAGTTTCTCATTGGCAATCCTACCACATCTTATTTTTATATTCATGAAAAAACAACATGTACAATTACTTTGTTAATATTCTATTTAAAAAAAACACACAGGTAAAGATTTACTAACATTATTATAATCAACAAATTGGCAAAAACATTCAAAAATATATACCATGTAAAAAATAAAATTCACTATCAAAATATCACAATTGTGTTAGGTCTAATAAAATAAACTGTCCAGTTCTCAGGCATTTACTTCTCTTTCAAACAAAATGAAACCTTATCTATTTTCTTTTTGTCCTATCATGGCTTAAATATCCAATCAAGCTGGGAACTGATTTTTTTCATCTTTTTTTTTTTAATATTTGACTCTGCATGCTATAATTGTCAAACAACATTGTTATCCACTAATAATTGATACAAATCTAAATGTTAGATAATCATTGATCCAAAGAACCAGATAATTTATTTTACATGACCTTAGAGGTTAGTATTTGTGTTCATTCAATATCACAGTGTTATACAAAATATAGTAATATAAAATCATTGAAATATATTGCATCTTATTGTAAATAAAATAAACCTTATTGCATTGAAGTAAAAAGGATAGAAAATAATTGACTAGTATACAGAAAAGAAACCCAGAAATGTAAAGAAAAGACAGAACACATTTTAGATATTTATATAACTTTCTCTTTAATCTCAATTCACATACAATGTTTTTATTTGCCAAAAAATTATGTTTTATTGGGTGTTTTAATATTTTTGAATTACAGACAAAAATATTTGATGATTCTAAAATTAACAGGCTATTATTTCAACTTGGAATTATTATTAATTATGGAATTTGCATAATTTCTTGTGCTTGAAATTTTTAATAAATTCCATGTTTATTCTGTATAATAATGTTTTGAGCGGTGCATAACACTTTCCATACAATGTATTTTGTATAGATAGTGTTGTGCGCCGCACAGTACATTCTATTGAAAATGTGCATTTTTCTTTATAATAGAAAGTGTTGTGCGCCGCACAGAACATTAAAATACAGAATAAACATGGAATTTATTAAAATTTTCAAGCACAAGAAATTATGCAAATTCCATAATTAAAAATAAATCCAAGTTGAAATAATAGCCTGTTAATTGGACCTTCAACAATTAGGGCATCTTTTTTCCTGTAACATTTTGTCTGCAATCTTGAATACTTTACAATACCCTTTATTATGTAGTCTCACCATCTAGAAAATTACTGGAAGGTGTCCAAAAATGAAAAGTCATGTGTATTGCCAGGATTTGAAGTTAGGGAGCCAGGGGGCAAGGCCTAAAAACTACACTGAGGCAAAAAAAAATTGACATGTTTAATGCAAAAAAATGGGATTTCCCCCTATCCTGTAGCCCCAATAATTATAGCAAGACCAAGATTGCTTTCAGTGAAGAATAAAAATACAAATCAAGGATTATTTTTACACATGTAAGAGTTGAATCTATGTCCAGCCTCAATTGTCCTTCTATTAAATCCATGTACTATCCCTTTATGCTTCATAAACGTCACAAATCTGTCCTTTCTTTTCTCAAATTTATTTTCTTTTCACTTTCCATGCCATGTCCTATATTGCCATTTTGTATTAAAAAAAAATTTGTAGGTGAAAGCAAAAGACACATATTTGAGTTCTGTGACATCACATTAAAAGTCAGGTTACCTTGTAAAAAGAACAAGTCCCAGCATAAAAGAAATGAAATGAACACTTATAATAAAAATAAGTTTAAACAAAAATTAAGAAGCCATATTTCCTGAAATTACCTTTGAAATCTTAAAAAAAATCAGGTCTTGTCAAGTGAAGAAAACATCAAGAAACAAATGTCCACTCTAGCATATATGTGGATTCATTTATTTTCTTGGGTAACAATTGTTCATGGATTGTGAAAAATTTGTATTTTTGTGGATATTTGATTTCGTAGTTTTGCCGAAGTCTGCATACAAGCCTATAGAAAATATGTAATTCATTGAACATTGTAATTAGTGTTTTACCTTTACCCACAAAGTCCTACAAACAATAACGAATCCACAGTAGACACTCAAGATAAAGTTTCAAAGGCCTCCCATTTAAAAGCAAGACCTATCAAATTATGTAACGACATTTTAAAACCAAAATGATAAGAACTGCTCTCTGCTCTACCCACTCTAACTTTGTTTTATTTTTTCATTAACAATTACATATAATAATTTTGTGTAATTGTAATAAATCTCATAACAGTTTGTTTTGGACCTGCAGGAGCACTTACTTGTCATTCAAATCATGTTCTATTACACAATGTTTTAGAAAAAACAGTTGTCTATAACAATAGGTGAGGTTTTTAGGTTAGTAAACAATAAATATAAATTCTTCAGAGGATATAATTGTTCAATCGCCACATACAAGTGGACTTTACAATGAGATCACATAATTTGACAACCTATGCCAGTAGTCTCCCTTCGTTTCATTTTCTGGCTTGAGAATGACAGAGCCATGGCCTGAGCACCTAGTAATGCAGGTGTAATTTGTAATTTATGTGTGCCATCAACGATGCTTGTTAACAATTTATTCAAACGTAAAATAGCAATGTCAGCAATATCTTCTGGAACAAACACAAGATGTTTAGCATCAGATGACAGATCAACCAATGGCAATTGACAATGAGCCACAAAAGTAGCCAATGAGATTCCCCGTCTAAAGTCCCACATGACTAATTTCTTGTCTCTTGAAGATGTCAAAAGATACTTACCTGTCAGATCAAACTTCAAACTGATAACAAAATCATCATGTTTTTTTAATTTGTAACTCAATGTCCCATCTGCTAAAGACCAGACATATATTGTTTTGAACCCACACGAAACAATGCATTTACTATCAGGTGAAAATGAAGCTGCGACAGCAGATGACTTCTGATCGAATCTCATGGAATACTGTCCAGACATTTTGACCACTCTAATTCCTCCATCAGTTGATGCAGAGAAGGCATACTGGTCATCAGGGCTGATGTCTACAGCGGAGCTACCACTCATCATTGTGTCATTGTTCTGCATCATATTCTCCATGTCAACTGCAGAATCGGTCTCATCTTCAGTAATCAAAGGTACAATCAAGGGGAAATCAAACATTGTACTCACTATCTGAAAGATTAATTAAGAGTTCCAATATAAGAATTATAATCAAATAAAGTAAATGCTTAACTAAGTTCTGACGGATGTTAGTCAACATGGGCAACTAGTACAGGGCAGTGTAATCAAATAAAGTGAATGCTTAACTAAGTTCTGATAGATGTTAGTCAACATGGACAACTATAGTACAGGGCAGTGTAATCAAATAAAGTGAATGCTTAACTAAGTTCTGATAGATGTTAGTCAACATGGGCAACTAGTACAGGGCGTTGTAATCAAATAAAGTGAATGCTTAACTAAGTTCTGACGGATGTTAGTCAACATGGGCGACTATAGCTAGTACAGGGCAATGTAATCAAATAAAGTGAATGCTTAACTAATTTATGCTTAACCAAGTTCTGACGAATGTTAGTCAACATGGGCGACTATAGCTAGTACAGGGCAATGTAATCAAATAAAGTGAATGCTTAACTAATTTATGCTTAACCAAGTTCTGACGAATGTTAGTCAACATGGGCAACTAGTACAGGGTAGTGTAATCAAATAAAGTGAATGCTTAACCAAGTTCTGACGGATGTTAGTCAAAATGGGCGACTATAGCTAGTACAGGGGAGTGTAATCAAATAAAGTGAATGCTTAAACAAGTTCTGATGAATGTTAGTCAACATGGGCAACTAGTACAGGGCAGCGTAATCAAATAAAGTGAATGCTTAACTAAGTTCTGATAGATGTTAGTCAACATGGGCAACTAGTACAGGGCAGCGTAATCAAATAAAGTGAATGCTTAACTAAGTTCTGACGGATGTTAGTCAACATGGGCAACTAGTACAGGGCAGCATAATCAAATAAAGTGAATGCTTAACTAAGTTCTGACGGATGTTAGTCAACATGGGCAACTAGTACAGGGCAGCGTAATCAAATAAAGTGAATGCTTAACTAAGTTCTGACGGATGTTAGTCAAAATGGGCGACTATAGCTAGTACAGGGCAGTGTAATCCAATAAAGTGAATGCTTAACTAAGTTCTGACGGATGTTAGTCAACATGGGCAACTAGTACAGGGCAGTATAACCAAATAAAGTGAATGCTTAAACAAGTTCTGACGGATGTTAGTCAACATGGGCAACTAGTACAGGGCAGTGTAATCAAATGTGAAAGAATAGAAGCAAAGAATGTTGGAGAAACTAAATCAAAAACATCAACAGGTTAAAACATTTTTTTACTCAACATTTAATAAAGTTCCTTATATGTCACAATTCTTTGTTCTTTGTTTATTTCAATAGTATTATTAATATTAGTAATAGAAACATTTTGATTCATTGGATCATTAACTGTAATTTATGGAGAATTTCATAAATGTCTTTTCTCTGTCTCAAATTTTTTTTAGATATTTTTATGGTATTAAACCACTGTGCCAATGGGAAATAAACCTTTATGATTGCAGTTTTATAATATTTGGTAATGTTTTAATGAGACATTGATCTAGTTGTTGTGCTCCTACTCAAAATAAGATATCCATAACTTATGTAGCCTGCTTTTAGTCACAGTTACCTACCTTAGTACCTGAGGAGTTGATGGCCACCTGACTCAGTGAGTACAGAAGTTCAAACTCTTTTACCATAGTACCTTGAAAAAATTGAAATGTCAGTATAATAAAACAACTGTAGATTCATAATCAATACTAATTTTACTGGACTTCATTTGTAAAGGAAATTACAAACCATGGAAAATCCACAAAATACAAATCCTTAACTGCTTTGTTAGCAAATCAACAACATACCATTGTACAACCTAAAGAAAAAAACGAATATAATCATAGTAAATAAAATGTTATTTAACACTGTCATCCTATATAACAAGTCTGAATCTTGAAAAACAGACTTGAACTTCTAATTTTGGTCTCAATGCATCAGCTGTACGAGAATGAAGTATTTTTTTAAATTAATCACTTACAATTTTTAATATTAAATGCTTTCCTTTTAGACTCTATGACCCATTTTTCAAGCCTTAACTTAATAATGACTTACCATTTTTTATGTTAAATGCTTTCCATTTAACCTCCATGCCCCCTTTTTTTTAATCAATGGCTTACCATTTTTGATGTTAAATGCTTTCTATTTAACCTCCATTCCCCTTTTTTTTTAATCAATGACCTACCATTTTTGATGTTAAATCTTTCCATTTAACCTCCATTCCCCCTTTTTTTTAATCAATGGCTTACCATTTTTGGTGTTAAATGCTATCCATTTAACCTCCATTCCCCCTTTTTTTAATCAATGACTTACCATTTTTGATGTTAAATCTTTCCATTTAACCTCCATTCCCCCTTTTTTTTAATCAATGGCTTACCATTTTTGATGTTAAATGCTTTCCCTTTAGCCTCCATTCCTCCTTTTTTTTAATCAACGACTTACCATTTTTGATGTTAAATGCTTTCCCTTTAGCCTCCATTCCACCTTTTCCAACAACTAAAATGCTGTTAGCTTCTGCTGCACAGTTCACAGCCATTTTACTTGACAGTTTGTGTTTCAATTCATCTAAATAAAATAACAGAGATTTAATTGCCAAAAATAAATATGGATACATTTTACATAATTGGCAGTCATCCGTTTCAAAGATTTCTGTTCAATCTATAAGGTAGATGTTGACAAATACTGTGGATTCATTTATTTTTGTGGGTACTAGTTTTCATGGATTGATGAAAAATTGTATTTTTGTAGATATTTGATTTCGTGATATAGCCAAAGTCTCATTTATAAATCTTATAGAATATTTGTACTTCGTTTAACATTTTAATTTGTGGTTCACCTTGACAAAAGAAATCCACGAAAATTGGTATCCAATGAATAATAGTGAAACCACAGTAAGCCTTATGGGCCTAATGACACAAACATCTTTTTAATTTGATTGGTCAGTAAATATACAAACTTGATGTTAGCGGTAAGTTATTATTTTACTGGATATTTCAATTTCAAGACTAAACTTTGAACTTTGATGGCTACAATGTATAGGCTATTTTCTATGTAAATGATATTTCAATCCAAAAGTAATCAGTAATATCAGTGTAGAAACACTTTTCAATTGTAATTCTGTCAATCTGCCTCTAAATACTGTTTACATCTTCTGCAATTTAAATACACCATAAATTTTACAATGAACTATAAAAATTGGGTCATGATCTGATGAACCTGCTCTGGTGGAGAGTTGTCTCATTGGCAATCATACCACATCTTCTTATTTTTATTCCTATTAGTTGGACATGTAAACCTTACAATCATTTATAACACTTACATGACTGAGAATCAAGTATAATGATATCATCCATTTTTGTAATTATAATAATTTCTTCTCCACTTTTTGACATGAGCAGGTGAGTGATCATTATTTCATAATTCTGTTCATACACAGTTTTCCCATCATTAAGGTCCTTTACTATGAACTGACCATCTGACCGTCCTACCAAAACTGATCTATTGTCACTACAAAAAAGAAATTAGTTGTAAATGCAAAAGTCTGTTATCTCTAAAATTAGAATCACTCAGATCTTATATTCCAGTTCCCCAACACAAATTTTTCTTTGCAAATAATGTGTCGATAGCTAAATTAGTCAGATATCTCCCTCTACCTAGCTTCGACTGGTTCTCTGTTCAAAGTATAACAGTTTATGAGATCATATTCTTAGAGATAACCAATTGTGATTATTACCAAAATGACTTACTGTCAATACGAAAGAAAATAGTGACAATGTGGTACCTTTGTAAAACTGTCTAATAGCAAATTATAATTGAAATATTTGTTATTATACATGTATTCTAAATCTGAACTTTCTTTTTTGATGTGGCTTGTCTTCTATGTTTATGCATTATTCCTATTCTTTGCATTCATCTAAAATGTGTTTATAACAACAATATATAAATAGAAAGAAACTTAAATTGACTTAGTTTAAATACTTTATTGGCAAAATCTTTACTAATTCTTCAAATTTTCACGAAAAGTACATATTATAAAAATAACACATAGCTGAGAGAGTGATAGAGCAGATTGTTATCCCGAGAAAAGATTGTCAACTGAGGCAAAGCCAAGGTTGACAATGTTTTTTCGAGGGGTACCAATCTGCTCTATCACCCTTCCAGCTATGTGTTATTTAATTTATTATACTGAATGTTCTATCATTATTTCTTTTACAGTTAAATTCTGAATTGAAAGTACTTCACTAAGACATCACATACATTACAACATTATAGTTAATAGAAAAATATCATAAGTGAAGCAAAATATTTTTTTTTTGACAGTCTATGAAAAAAATCTGAAGCCTAGATGTAGAACTTTAGTATTATCTTTAATATATTGATGTAAAGTCAATTCATTGTCCGTTGAAATATCTATTTTTATTGGTCTTCATGAGAATGTGACAAAAAAGCCATGGGATAGAGTAAATTATCTCCCTCGTATTAGCCAATCAAAGTCTGGCATTGAAGTATAATAAACTGTATTATTTACCTGCTAATTTTAACAGCTGTTGTTGAGTAAGTTTTCATATCTTTCCTGAAGTCTTCGGTAGCAGTTGCTGCATCCAGCTGGTTACCAGTCTTTAAATAAGTATCACAGAACTCATTAACAACTCTGCTAACATCCCATACTCTGATGGTACAATCTTGTGAAGCTGAATACAACATATTTTCATCTTTACTTAGAATCAACTGCATGATTTCCATACTGTGACCCTTCAAAGACTGACAGGGAACCACTTCTGATAATGGATTGTCTAAGGTACCAGCATAAAATATATAAATCTCATTGATTGTTGTATATTCTAAGGCAGTGATAGCAAAGATATGATCTGTGCCAAATAGTTTCAAGCATGTGACACCATAGCGACCACAGAATTCTTTTGTACATTCTGACACTTGTTGTCCGTCTGCTATCTTGTGTATATACCATCTCTTATCATTGTCCCCATTTGTGACCCCAGTACTTCCAAGGCCAACAGCAAAGTATTTCTCTGATGGATGAATCGATACAATATCTGGTGAGTAATGTTCCCAGTGCTGTACAGAATAGTCCTTTTCTGCTGTAGCCAGATCCAACATGTTTATGAATTTTCCCTCTTTATATCCCAATCCTCTGTACAACATTTTATTGGTGGTCAAAATATGAACTAATGCATGATATGGAGGTTTGCTTGATCCAAAGGAAAAACCTTCTATTGCTGAAGTTTGCAGTGTTTCTAAAGTCTCCATTTTCAACACCAACATAGATTTTTCAGAGAAAACAACAAGATATTGATGATCAGGGGAGATTACTAGGTAATCTGGCTTAAACTCCAACTGAACAGACTTGGTCACTGACATTGCTGTCATGTTTTGTCCAATGGTACAAACATTTATCTGGGTTACTGGAAAAATGATAGGAGATATATTTAATAAATTATATGTATATCTTATAAATTACATATTTAAAGAAATAGATTCAAACAAAAATTAAGCATATTGAGAAAATCAACTCTTTACCATGAGTACTAAAATTATTGAACATATTTTTTCTCTCAAATCTAATGAAAAATATTTATTTTGATGACAGAATGTGTGAGTATGTATACAATGATAATCCTAATTAACTAAAGATAGGTTGTTTTATTTAAATAAAAATAGAAAAAAAAACTTTTATTGGAAGACTATAAATTTTGTGGTAATTTAGAATTATAGACAAATACCACACAACATGAATAGTTTCTATTGATTTGTGTAAAATAAATCATAATTTATCAATAATTGTACTTTACCAGTAATAAAAGAATATTAAAGCTTGGGATTAAAACCAATGGTTCAAGACAAACTCAAAATTTGAAAGTTCGATCAATCCTTAGGTTTAAGTTATTTATATGAAAATAAAGATTAAAATGCTCTCTAAGACATTTTTCACTTAATGGGTTGCTTTCTCAACATCTGACCCAAAACTCTTTTTTACTCATACAATTTACTGGACATTAAAAGTACCACTTACAGCTTGAATAAACAATATATTTATCTGACACAGCTACACATTCTGATCTATTTGGAATGTTGACCACAGCGAAAGTCTCGCTATTCACTAACTGATCATGGCTTCTTGCTCCTCCTCCTCCAAAAGAGTTCTCAGATTTATCATGACCAAGTACAAGGAACCTAAAATAAAGGTAATCAGGTTTATCATGACCAAGTATAAGGAACCTAAAATAAAGGTGTAAATCAGGTTTATCATGTTAAAGTACAAAGAACCTAAACATCTAATAGCTGTCTTCATATGGCACAAATACAGATTAGTCCTACATGAATCATATTATATATATTTGAAAATCAAGGATAGATGTGTTCTAATCTTACTTATCATTCATCACAGGGCAGTAAACAGATGATGTTCCTTTGACATCTAATTTCTCTGAGAATGCAGCTGATCCATTGTCGTTCATATCAAAGACGGAGAGATAATCATTAGTATGGTCTTTTACAGCCTCTAATACTATCAGAATATTGTTGTGTTCCTGTAGATGCATCACTCGACTGAAATCTCTACCATATCCACCTGCATTATATAAAATTGTAAGTAAATGCATATTCTCTCATTGTAGAAAATAACAACAATACAATGACATTGTGTAATTTTTTTTCCATATATATACAAGCAAAATTAACTAAGAGTCCCCTGTCCTCAGCTCTAGACTGCTTTATAAATGAGCCTGTTTTTTTTCATTTGGTTTATATTTGAAAGATTTAGCAGAACTACTAGTTTTTCAGTATCAGAAAGATTTTTAAATATAGGATTATCTATAGCAATGTCAATAAAGTTTTATATGTAGTATTTCATAATTAAACTGCAAAAAAACATTTATTATAATATGAGAGAGAAAAAATTGCTCTTAGAATGTAACCCTACGACCAAAGAGAAACCTCTGTCCATGTTTGACAGAATATTTCAATTTAAAACACTCAGTCTATATACAAGAACCTTAATGCTGATGACAATAAAAGATTACTTTTCCTCACCTTCCATCATAGGCAAGAAAAACTTGTTGTCACTTATAACATTACCTCCAGTATGCCATACTTGGGCATCAATCATAGTTTTGATATAGCCATCAGGAGGAGGAAGACACTTGGATAATGGCAGTAACAGAGATATATCACACGTCTCTGACCATTCCTTAGTTTCTGTCACAAGTTTCTTCATGAACTCACTACCAGTATTGCCAAGACCCAGCTGACCTAAAATCTATTCAAATAAATAAATATTTATATCGAAATCTCTTGTTTACATAAAATACAAGGGCGTCCAATTAATTCATGTAACTTGTATACCCTTATATGTTCTATTGTATGTCCTAATGTGTTCTTTTGTATGTCTTAATGTGTTCTCTTGTATGTCCTAATGATTTCTAGTGTATATCCTAATGTGTTCTATTGTATGTCCTTATGTGTTCTAGTGTATGCCATAATGTGTTATAGTGAATGCCCTAATCTGTTCTAGTATGCCCTAGTGTGTTCTAGTGTATCCTCGATTGTGTTAAGGTGAATGCACTTATGTGTTATAGTGTATTGTGTTCTAGTGTATGCTCTATTGTGTTAAGGTGAATGCACTTATGTGTTATAGTGTATTGTGTTCTAGTGTATGCCCTATTGTGTTTAAGTGTATGCCCTAATGTGTTCTAGTGTATGCCTTAATGTGTTCTAGATAATGTCCTATTGTATTCTAAAGCATGCACTATATTCTAGTGTATGCTCTGTGTTCTGGTATATGTCCTAAATTTTTTCTAGTGTATAATAGAAAAACAAAGGATATGGGGTATCCAACCATGACACAAAATCAGTAAATGCACAGCAAAAAAAAAGACACATAAAAGGCAAAGAAAACAGCACTTTTATTGCTGTTTTTCATCTCAAATTCCCAGTGAGGCCTTCAACACAGAGAAACAGAAAAAAACTCTCACCTCACTGAAAGTTCAAGACAGCCCCTGAGTTGGAAATTCTTTGCAAAATAGTTTGGGTATGCCCTTATGTGTTAAATTGTATGCCCTTATATGTTCTAGGGTATGCCCTAATGTGTTCTAGTGAATACCTTAATGTGTTCTAGTGAATCCCTTAATGTTTTCTAGTGAATACACTAATGTGTTCTAGTGTATTTCCTAATTTTTTCTAGTGTATGCCATTATGTGTTATAGCATATGCCATTATGTGTTCTAGTGTATGTCCTAATACATTCTAGTTTATGCCTTAATGTGTTTTGTACATGAATCAGGCCTTTAGTTTTCTCATTTGAATTGTTTTACAATTGTGATTTTGGAGCCTTTTATAGCCTATACGGTATTGTTTTTTCTAATTGTTGAAGGCCGTACAGTGACCTATAGTTGTTAACTTCTATGTCATTTGGTCTCTGGTGGAGAATTGTCTCATTGGCAATCATACCACATCTTATTTTTATATAGGTAAATGGATGACAACAGAGAGAAAGCAATATTTTTGTAAAGTACCTGTAATGCCAAATTGGAGCTGTCTTTTCTGATACTATCACTGCCTAATGACAACATCTGCTTAACAATCTTTATATCATTGTAGGATTCAACATCATCAATATTACCAGCGGCATCCATCTCAGTCAGGGCCATCTTCAAATCTTCTATAACACTTGATAATGATACAAATTTACATTTGGCATACAGCCATTCAAAGTTACATGCTATCTCATCGTGGAAATCTTTAAATAAATGACATTTAATCATTTGGTAAGGTAATTCAATCAACTTTCTAACATTGCAGCATTCACTATTAAAATAGATTGGTTGATCAGGTACCCCTCTCTTTGACTCTGGGTAGGAAGCTTTTTTCTTTTTGTACAATTCTAATGGCTTAGGTTTGTTGTACCATGTTCCTCTGAAGTAGTCCACTAATAACTGACACATATTTTTCCCTTCTTTACCTGTCAAGTAACGTCTCCTGGCAACCTATAAAACAACACAACTTATTACTTAGATATCTATTGATGATTTTAATATTTCAGGTTATTTTTAGATTACTAAATTAGCAGCGGATAACTTACCTGATTTTAAATTCCAAACAGACTCATAATTTTTTGTAATAACTTTAATGAACAGCACAAAATCTATTCAACCTATTTTGAATTTTGACAAATGTTCAGGAAGTGTAAGGTAGGACTTGACTAACCTTACAAATTTCATATGAAAAGAATTTTTGTAATGTCAACACATTATTGATTTGTTCCATAAAATAATATGTGAAAAGTTTCCCCCATTTTTCATATTGTTTTTTTTTTTAGATTTATAGCCGTACATTTTAGTTGTTGAAACACCAAGAAGATAACTCACTTTACTCATGTGAAATATTTGAAATATTGGGCAGTGTTGGAGATCATGAAGATATACAAATCTATGCAACTTTAGATAAAAAAATATTTTATTTTATTGAAGATTTTCTATAAGATCAGATCTATTCATCAATATTTATCATAAGTAATTACCATGATTCCTTGCAATCTCACAATTGATATAAAATAAAGAAAGTATGCAATGCAATGTCAATAAGTCTACTGTATTATCTGAGAAATAAGAAGCAAGGAAAAGTCCAAAAAAAAGAAATGATCTCTTCAAACTTGTTCAGAATTTTAGAACCATGTTCTTTCTAATAAGTTTATTATTATCACGATTATTAAGATATTATACAAATATCTCTATGTTTAACCTCAATGAACTGCCTATGGTACCATCCAACTACTTTCTTCCCTCCAGATTTTTGAAATGCCATGTAATCTTTAGTATCTTTCATCAGTAAAGATATAACAGAAGGAGGTATCCTGATATTGTCTGGGTCTGGTGGTAAGTGGTAAAGGTATGTGTCCTGTAGGGTTTCATCATCCAATGACAATAAATCTTCCAGTTCTGTGTGACTCAAACCCTCTCGTGATGCACTCAGAAAGCCTAAAATAAATATTTTACCAAATAAAATTATCAAAAACAATTATTGCTTATTCATAAATAAAAACAAATTAAATGTAGTTCTTGTATGTGCAATTGATGCATGCTCTCTCAGTTATTTTTAAATATTACTAAACAGAAATAAACATCTGGGCCATTCTGGGGTATGCAATGTATATCAATCATGTCAATGAGGCTACAACCAAACAACACAAAAAAACCAAAAGACATAAAATGTAAACATAAAGTTAGAGTACAAATACTTATTGTAAATAACCAATTACTGCAGCGTACCTCATAAAATAAGATTTATATTATGTGTTGTAAACCATACAAGGAGACAAGACAGGAAAGGGGAGATAAGTAATAAGAGGGTCCACTAATGAAGATAGAAAAATAAATTGAATTAACATCTCATGACTTTGACCTGTCACCATTTCGGTGAGAGTGACTTTGGATCCTTAGTGCTTGTATCTGTAAACAAATCTGTAAACAAATCTAAAGACAAAGGTACACCTCACTAAATCTTTTACTTCTGTCAAATAGACTTACCAAAAGTTTTTTCTACAACTTCTATACCATTTTTCTTTTCCAGATAATCAAAGAACATGTCAATGGCTGCCTGAACATTTGGTCCAACTTTAAAATCCTTCACATCAGTTGATGACCTCCAAAGTATAGCTCGGTCTACCAGGAGCTTCACATATAGTGGTCTAGCACACTTTACAAAAAATTCCATCAACTGTCGACGTTGAGGTTTTGTCAGTCTTCGATTCTTGAGCTGACAAATTTTCGTTATCACCTCATCTGAAGTATTCATTGAAAGTACAGGTACTTCTATAAACTGCTGCTCTATTATTAATCTATTACGAATGTTTTGTAAACATCCATTAGTTTCTGGCAACATGGATACTATTAAATGAATGTTTGTTGGAAGCTTTAGTGGGAGCCAATTCATTAGATGAGCACGGTCATGGTTTCTCAGCTGGTCAACTGAGTCTAGAACAATTACTAATGTTTGTGAGGTGTCATAGTTGTTGAGCATTGATTCAAAGAGTTGAGTAAGGTATAGAAAATCTCCTCCAAGGTCAACAAATGATGGTAAGGTCTTGTTTATTATTTTGAGTATTTGTCTAAGAACACTACATAGGACATCTTTTAATGATGAGGAATTGGCGGAGGTCCCAAGAAATCTGACAATCACAGAACTCCCTGGAAACCATTGTTTTGACATCTTAGCAACTTTTGCCATGATAGATGTTTTCCCGGAACCAGATTCTCCATGTAAAATGACAGGGTGTGAGTACTCTTTCAGCTCACATTTCTTTATCATTTCTAGTTTCATGTTCTTTTCTGGGTCGGCATCAACATCCCGGTCCATGTCACCATTGGCATAGATCATACCTCTTTCTTTATAAAGAGCAATTTTGCTCTTCACTTCTTCAAAGTAAGGATCCTGTTTTTCAGAAACTTGGTCAATCTGAGGTTCATTTTCTATATTATTCTCTAGGGTGTCATCATTACCAATTTCCTCGATTTGATCTGACTCCAAACTCCCATTCTCCTTCTGTGACAACTCGCTATCGTCTGGACCACCGTGAACTGTCGTCATTCTATCTCTGATTTCCTCCAGAATTTCCTCTCGTCCACAAAAACTTTCTAATCTTTTCTGTCCAAAATGTAAATGATGAAGAACTTCTTCATACAATTCATCATCTTCCCTGTTACCAACTTTCTTTTTCAGAGTATAATCTACCATTTTTATCATGTTTTCCTCAAAATGCTTCCCCATATTGATGAGGTATTCCATATGATCAGGATCCTCAGGGTCCACTCCATTTGGAGTCCAATACAATGTGTCCTTCTTAGTCTCATCTGGAAGAAGGACAGGTTGTATTTTTGCTATTTTAAGACGTTCTCTTAAATCTTTAGCCTCTTGGTCTATCGCAGTGCTGTCTTTTACTAAGTCAATAAATCTTTCTACAATAGAAATAAAGGTGTTTGAAGAGAGGTTTGTGGAAATTTAACAACTCTCTTCTGTATGATCCAGATTGTGTCCGTATTGTTAAAAAGGTTATAAATAAAAATAAAGAGCAATATGCTTCTCTTGTATATAGCAGAGAAAACCTAAACTTAGTAGACTCTAGTGATATCGAGTTCACAATTAGTGATCAATTATTTTTAGAAACATTATCAACTGAAATAAGGGGGAAAACAATATCATATGCTTCATTTAAAAAGAAAGAAACAAATAAATTAGAATATCTGCTAGCTGAAGATATAAACAAGTTAGAAGAAATAACCCAAACAGATGAAATTTTGGAACAGATTGAAAAAAAGAAAACAGATCTCAAAATTCTAAGACAAAATAAATTGAGGGGCCAATATATAAGGTCAAAAACACAATGGGTAGAAGAAGGAGAGAAACCATCAAAATATTTCATGAATTTAGAGACAAAAAATTACGTAAAGAAAACAATTCCTAAATTAATTGATAAATCGGGAAATATAATTGAAAACCGAAAACAAATTCTAAACGAAGCCAAAAATTATTACAAAAATCTATATTCCAAAAATGTGACAATAAAATCTATTAATTTGAATAACGCTTTACCCCATAAAGATATACCAAAATTATCAGAAAATATGAAAGGGTCCTTAGAAGGGGAAATATCATTTATGGAGTTGACTGATGCAATTAAAAGAATGAAAAATGAGAAAAGCCCTGGATCTGATGGATACACAAATGAATTCCTAAAACTTTTTTGGATAGATATAGGTAAATTTGTACATAGATCAATTAAATATGGTTATAATCAAGGGGAAATGTCTGTTACTCAAAAACAAGGTATTATAACTTGCATACCAAAAGGTGATAAACCAAAGCAATACATGAAAAATTGGCGTCCGATCAGTCTTTTAAATACTACATTGTATTTACAAATTAGCATCAAGTTGCATTGCAGAAAGGATAAAATCGGTTTTATCAATCTTAATTAATAATGATCAGACAGGATTTATACCTGGTAGATTTATTGGTGAAAATACCAGACTGATATATATGATTTACTACACTACACCGAAGAAAATGATATCCCAGGCATTCTCCTCCTCATTGATTTTGAAAAAGTTTTGATTCTATCTCCTGGATTTTCATAGATTAAGTTCTTGATTTTTTCAACTTTGGAAATTCCATAAAACACTGGGTTAAAACTTTTTTTACAAATACCAAATCAGCAGTAACACAGAATAATTTTCCTTCAGATTTTTTTACAATTGAGAGAGGTTGCAGGCAAGGGGATCCTTTATCCCCTTACATCTTTTTGTTATGTGCTGAAATTTAAGGAATACTACTTAGAAAAACGAAAATATTAAAGGTATTACTATTGAAGACTCAGAATTTTTGATATCGCAATATGCTGATGACACCACACTTATTTTAGATGGTTCATCAGAATCCTCAGATGCATCTCTTTGTGTTTTAGAATTATATGCTGAATGGTCTGGTCTCAAGATGAATTTAGAGAAAACAAAGGTAGTTTGGATTGGGAAAAAGAAATAAAGCCAAGATACAATGTGTGCAAAGTGGGGATTGGAGTGGGGTTCCAACAGATTTATGCTCCTGGGTATTAAATATTCGGTTGACTTACAAGAAATGGAAACACTAAATTACGAACCCAAACTTAAAGAGATAGAAAGAACAATGAAAAGTTGGTCAAACAAATATTTATCCCCAATTGGAAAAATTACTATAATTAAAAGTCTTATAATTTCAAAACTCAATCACTTATTTTTAACTTTACCAAATCTTAACAATGGATTACTTAATCAATTTATTAAAAATTTATTTTATTTTATTTGGGATGGTAAACCAGACAAAATTAAAAGAGAAACAATTGCTCAAATATATGAACTGGGTGGACTTAACATGTTAAATCTAAAACAATATATAAAAGGATTAAAACTAACTTGGATAAGAAGAATAATTAAACAGACTAATAATTATTGTAAGTTATTAACTTGTTCTGAAAAAATAAAATTAAATGAATTGCTCAATGTTGGTCCAAGAACACAAGTAAGAAATCCATTTTGGCAGGAGGTTTTTAATGCTTGGACTGAACTCCAAACTAAAGTAGCTGTTAAGAACAAATATGATTTTAGATTTTACCGTATCTAATCTTTGGAATAATAAATAAATTAAGATTGGTAATCAAACCCCTCTGTATAAAAAATGGACTGAAAAGGGAGTCTGGCTAATAAATGATTTAATTGATAATGATGGGCATTTAATGAACTGGCCGGAATTTCAAAAAACATATAATATTGATACCAACTTTCTTATATTTCAAGGAGTAATCTCAGCAGTTAATTCCTATATGAAAAGTCTTAATATTAAATGTAATCAGCTTTTAAAGCTTTATGGGCCAATTATACCAACTACTATTGCTATATTTCTGAAATCTACAAAAGGATCAAAAGACATGTACAATGTTTTAAACGAAAAAATAACAAATATCACATCACAGGAAAAGTGGTCGGTAATCCTAAATAGACAGAATATTATTTGGAATAAAGTATATAGACTGCCATTTTACATTACTAAAAATTCAAAATTACAGTGGCTCCAATACAGGATTAATCACAGAATTTTGGGAACAAATAAATTACTCTACAAAATTGAAGTCTCACAAAACAATAAATGCACTTTCTGTACGGACTCGATAGAAACTATAGAACACATATTCTGGACATGTCCAAAAGTATTTGATGTTTGGGAGGAACTTAATAAATGGATATATTCAAAAGTCCAAATTGAACTACCACTTAATTTAGATATAGTCTTATTTGGGATATTAGAAAAAACAGAAAAAAACTACATAAGAAACCTCATAATATTATTAACTAAATAATATATATACAAAACAAAAATGCAATGTGGACAAGTAAATATTGTAGCCTTAAAAAATTATCTTAAAGAAAATTTGTTTATTGAAAAAATAATATTTTATAAAAATAAACCATTACAAAGAGCGTACTCCTGCTGGAACCCCTGGCTCCAACTAATACAATGACTATACAAGTAAACTTTTACGTAATAAATATATCTACCTAATCCATGCTACCCAGGTTAGTTTTCTCTTTTTTTTTACCATTATTATTATTTTTTTAAGTTTGTCAAATGATTCAAAATATCAACTATATGTACTTGTCTCAATTTTGCTGATGTACTCTGGACTTACTTACTATGACGATTTATATATGTAGCTTTTGCCAATAAACACAATACAAAAAAAGAAATAAAGGTGTTCTAAAATTTTAAATCATGTTTTGTTTCGATCTTTTTACCTTTACTTAAAAAAAATCCATTTCTTTTAGAATAATCTGATAAATATTGCATTGACTTGCCTTGCATTTTTATTTATCAATGTGAACAGATAAAAATGCACAAAATAATCACTTTTTCAACAATTAATCATTCAAATAATATGTACAGTTGTACTACTCAAAGAAAGTTTTGCAACACTTCCATTGAGATTAATGGGTGTCAAACTTTGAGGGCTCATATACTTGTAGAAAATGCCCAAAATGACCTGAAATAAAAGGCATCCTTGTTTTTTAAGGATATTAAATTGATTAAGAAGAAAACTAAAAATTTAGGGGGGTGGGGGGGGGGGGGGGGAATGCTCCACCCAATTTTTTTACAACACTTTCAGTCAGAATTTTATTTGCTTAACTTATTTGAGTTGTGTACACATGGGGATCAGAATAAGAAAGGGATTAAGCCACTAAAGGAAACAATTTTAGATAGTACACAGAGTTCTTTACAATTTTCCAGAAAAAAATTAGCAGTTTTGGAGAGAACTTTTATCTTTTTTCTTCTTTTTTTTTTAAAGCATAAATATGTAATATATGATCAAACAATTTTGTTTTCATTTCATTTTTTTTGTGTTGATTAAATAAATTGTCCTTGAGACACAAAATAACTGCATGAATCAAACAATGGTTTTAATTTGACAACAGTGATATCTACAATAGATCTCAGTGAAATAAACATAATGCATGTAAGTTGTGATAACTTCAGCTCATGGTTGAAAACCTTTAAATAAGAAACTTTCAAGACGAATAACTGCAATAAAAGCGCTCTCTCTTGATATTTTGACATATTTCATGATAATGTTGTCCCATTTACATTTATCTCATAATATATACCGGAAAACATATTCATATTAAATGCTGAAGATGGGTCAAAGATGTTACATAAATTTAGCTTTCAAAGCTATTATGGATAAACATCAGCTTTATATGTATATTAAGCACTAAAACCAAAATTGATTAACAATACCAAACATACTTGCAATCTTGTCTTCTACATTTATATCCTCAAAATTTCTGATGTAAGCAAGCACCCTGTTTCTGATGGAATCACTTTCTATAATGCCTTTAGTTGCCTCTGCCTCAGTCACTAAAATCAGATTATCCAAAAGTTTATAAAATCAGAGTAACACTATAAGCTACGTCAAACAAAAACCACAACACTCCTCATTTTGGTCCAAATAAGGCTAAGATTTAGATTATAAAATGACTGAAAATTTTCAGAATACATGTATAACAAAAAAATCCACATTATTTGTATGATCCTAGCTACAAAATCTATTCAAAACTGACCATGTTTGATTTTTTTCTTAAAATTATTTGTTTCCATGATATGATAACTAACATTTCATGTACGAAGTTTGTTTTTAAAAACAGAGAATTATTTTATACATAGTAATTGCCACAATAATTAATGACTCTTGGAAGAAAGAACAAATGTATAAACTTCTTTCGTAAAATCAATCATTGAAATGACCTCAACATACCTGAATAAAAATACTTCAATCTTTGATCTTTAGATATACGGTTTTCTTCATACGCCTGATCTGCAGCTTTCCTTAGATACTGGGTCAATTTCTCAATTATGTTATCCCATTCCCTTCTTTCCTGAATGATTTTACAAAATATGAATAATGTTTTAAATCTTAAATATTCAAAAATAAATATGGTTTCTTTTAACATGTTTAAGCAATTACATTTATAAATCTAATACATAATTTTTTTAATTTCATTTCCTATGAGTACAAATAATATTTTGGTTTATTAAATATTTTTTAGTTTTTTTTTATCCCTAACACAAAGACATTTTTGTCCAAGAAAGTTTGGGTTTAAGCATATTCAGTGTTTATCATGTCCCTTTATAAACAGTACAGTAGCATTCTTCACTATTAATATTTATTGACCTGGATACTTGTTAGTTCCACTAAATGCCCAGTACAATGTCCAGTACAATGTCTCTACAAACGAGAGATGAATATGCAATATTTCTAGAGAAAAAAGTCTTCAATATAATTTTAAATGTTTTCCTGTGCTCACAATTTCATCATGAATGACAGAAGATAATTAGCAAGGATTTACCTACTTTTGTAACACTGATTCAATGATTGACCTACTTTTGTAACACTGATTCAATGATTGACTAACTTTGATTGACCTTCTTTTGTAACACTGATTCATTGGTTGACAAACTTTTGTAACACTGATTCAATGATTGACCAACTTTTGTATCACTGATTCAATGATTGACCAACTTTTGTAACACTGATTCAATGACTGACCTTCTTTTTTACCACTGATTCAATGATTGACCTACTTTTGTAACACTGATTCAATGATTGACCAACTTTTGTAACACTGATTTAATTATTGACCAAATTTTGAAACACTGATTCAATGATTGACCTACTTTTGTAACACTGATTCAATGATTGACCAACTTTTGTAACACTGATTCAATGATTGACCAACTTTTGTAACACTGATTCAATGATTGACCAACTTTTGTAACACTGATTTAATGACTGACCTTCTTTTGTAACACTGATTCAATGATTGACCAACTTTTGTAACACTGATTCAATGACTGACTAACTTTTGTAACACTGATTCAATAGTTGACCAACTTTTGTAACACTGATTCAATGATTGACCAACTGATGTAACACTGATTCAATGATTGACCAACTTTTGTACCACTGATTCAATGATTGACCTAATTTTGTAACACTGATTCAATGATTGACCTGCTTTTGTACCATTTAGTCAATACAGAATCTGGTACTCAGTGGCTCCCATCTCTCTTTGTATTGATCAAGATCAATGATCTTTCCTTTTTTGGTATTTTTTTTTTTCTACAAAACTATAACTTCTTTTCTATTGATATTTTATATACTTGTGTTGACCTGATACAAAAAATATTCAATCCCTTAAATATGACAATACAAACCTTTTCTCTCTCTGTGGATTTCTTTGGATCATCATTATTATAATTTGGAAGGACGTCGGTGATTGGTAGAAGATAAAACACAGCAGGTTCAGCATTGTCATCACGTTTGTACCACTGATTCATCAGAAATGTGTCGCAGCCCACCTTCATTGCTGTACGATACAGAATCTTATACTCATTGGCTTCAATCTCTCTTGGTATTGATCTATAACCATACTTGTCACCAAGAAATAACTAAAATATACAGATTAGTAAAGTGCAGGAAAAAGCAAATTATCATAAATCCTAACATCTGGATAGAAAAGATTTGTACTTTCTTTTGCACTGAAGATATATTTCCTATGCAAGTTTCTATAAACAATCATGTTAGTTGTTTTTTTATCTAACAGAATTTGAAAGTTTGAAATTAAAACATTTTTTTCATGACATACAATAGGAAGGACTTTTACTGATTCATTATAACCCAATGCATCATATACAGATAAAAGACAGCATTTGCATTCTTGACAATTCCTTTGATGCTATGACCGTAATAAGCAATTTTACTAAACTAATAATGTGTCATTTATAAAGTCTAAAACAAAGCAAACTTTTAAAACTAGTAATGTTCCCTTTATTAAGTCTAAAACAAAGCAAACTGTTTAAACTAACACTTCTATTTTAATTGCAAACAAGTATCAGAGGAACTGAGTGTATTTGTTGTAGTGTCATTAAGTTGTTAAAGTGATAATTCACTGAATACTAATTTTTAGAATGAAACAGTGTATAACAAAACTTTTTTACCCCAGTGAAACTACAAAAAATAAACATTGAAATTTAACTGATGTGTTACCTATGGAACATATTTTCATTGTAAAAGTATGTACATGTACTTAGACATCAAAAGTAACCTGCAGTTCTCTTTCTATGGCTAAAAAAAAAAAGATAAAGTGGTTGACTGCATTACCAAGCAAATAACTTACAACAAAGTATGGTCCTCTAGACATTAGCTTACAGATCTCTACTTCTTCCAAAACTATATCATTGGTACTGTGGTCAATAGAAGCTTCATCTCTTACTCCCCAGCGATAATCAATGATCTACAATACAATAAATACACTGTTATCTGTGAAATAATATAGACAATTAACTATCAGCAATATAAAAATAAGAAGATGTGGTATGATTGCCAATGAGACAACTCTCCACCAAAAAGACCAAATGATGTAGAAGTTAGCAACTATAGGCCACGGCTTGGCCTTCAACAATGACCAAAACCCATACCACAAGTAAGCTATAAAGTAATATATAAAGCATATACTTTTTTTTCTAGTTTCAGTATTGGATGCAATCTTTGTTGGTGGTCAGATGATATTAGCTGTTGGTAATATCTGACAACAAATAACTAGAGGCTCTCAAGAGCCTGTGTCGCTCACCTGTATCTACTGTGGTTTTGATAATCATGTAAAATAAGGTTAAAATCATAATAAATAGCATTAGATACCCTAATAATGATTGAGGCCAAGTTTGGTTTAATTTGGCCCAGTAGTAAAATTAAAAGCAGGTCATCCCATTAATATTGTAGTTTTACAATAGTTACTGAAGACCCCTTATCATTATTTAAATTAGTTTTCAAGTTGTGACCATTTAAAATTGTTTTTTCACAATTTTCCCATAGAATTCTATAGTAAACCCCTATGTTCTATTTTTAGCCATGGCGGCCATGTTGGTAAGATGGTAGGGTCATCCGATACATTTTTCAATCAAGATACCCTATTGAAAATTGTGGCTAAGTTTAATTCTATTTGGCCTTGTAGATTAAGTGGAGAAGATTTTTGTAAAAGATTACAAAAATTTAAGAAAAATTGTTAAAAATTGACTATAAAGGGCAATAACTCCTTAAGGGGTCAATTGACAATTTTGGTCATATTGTCTTATTTGTAGAAAGTAATTTGCTGAACATTATTGCTGTGTACAGTTTATCTCTATCTATAATAATAATTAAGATAATGACCAATAAATTGCTTCACCGAGCACAGCTGGATACGACCGCAGCTAAATACGACCTCAGAGGTCCAACCCTGAATAGTTGGGGCAAAAATGGACACAATATTCGCGCTTGATACAGGTCTGAATTTGGATTGTAATTAAATATTTGACACAGAATAACTGTAGTCAAAGAACTTAGAATTGGTTATATGATTTGAATTTATGCTCAATTTTTTGCTTTTGTGCAATACACTATGCTGTTGCGAATTGACCCCCCCCCCCTTTTTTTTGCAAAAAACAAAAAAAAAAAATATTTAAAGAAATATCATTTTTTAATTTCTGAAATCTGAAATGAGAAAAAATTGTCCCCCCACAATTTCTTTTTTACCCCCCCCCCCCCTAAATTTTTTTTTCAACTCCCCCCCCTCTTTTTCAATTTTTTTCAAAAAAAAAAAATCTTTCCCTCAAGATATGGTCATAATCTCAATTCAAATTTCCAATGGAGTTTGCAACCATAATTACCCATTTAAATACATCATACAAGCCTTAAAATAGAAAATGACATACATAATCATGGCTAAAATTAATATTCCTTAATCAGCATTTTTTATAGTAACTTCTAAAAATAAATTGACAGCTAATCACCTCAAGACAGTACAACATTTCTTTATACATAATTTAAAAGCAATGTAAGGGAGGTAATCCAAACATAACATTGTACTTTAAAGTAATTGTCCATTAACCAGGAAACCCTTGTTTTCCCCTTTTTTGCCCCTTATTCCAAAACTGTTTGAGCCACAACCACCCAAAGCCAATCCTAACCATCCCTTTGTGGTATAGAAACTTGTGGTCTAATTTCAGAGAGATCCATACACCTTTCCACAAGTTATTGTCTGGAAACTAGAAAAATGCTTATTTGGGCCCCTTTTTGGCCCCTAATTCCTAAACTGTGAGGACCATAACCCCCAAAATCAATCCCAACCTTCCTTTTGTGGTTATAAACCTTGTGTTTAAATTTCATAGATTTCTATTTACATATACTAAAGTTATTTTCCGGAAACGCTGACGACGACGTGATACCAATATAGGACCGCAAAATTTTTTGCAGTCGTATAAAAACTGCAAAATTTCCCTAAAATTACCAATTCAGGGGCAGCAACCCAACAACAGGTTGTCTGATTTGTTTGAAAATTTCAGGGCAGATAGATCTTAACCTGATGAACAATTTTAACCTGTCAGATTTGCTCTAAATGCTTTAGTTTCAAAGATATAAGCCAACAACTGCATTTTACCTTATGTTCTATTTTCAGCCATGTCGGCCATGTTGGTTGGCAGGCGGGGTCATCGGACATATTTTTTAAACTAGATACCCTAATAATGATTGAGGCCAAGTTTGATTTAATTTGGCCCAGTAGTTTCAGAGGAGAAGATTTTTGTAAAAGTTAACGACGATGACGGACGCAGGACGCCAAGTGAGCTAAAAACTACTTTCATATCAGTACTCACCACGCTGAAGGGAGAAATTATCAGACCTTTTCACCTAAAGTTGATCCCTACAGGTTGAGTGCATGTAGAAAACATGTGGCCTTTATTTTTTTTTTTTTTACACATGCAGTTCCTTGGTGATTATTGCTACCTTTGGGAAATATTGGCACTTTTGAAAATAAATAAAAGAAAATGATTGAAAAATATTGTTTTGGATGGCAAATGATACTTATTGTTCAACTTAACCAAAAGATCTAGATGTATTTCATTGTTTGTCAGGGGGTAGCAGGGTTGTCAATTCCCAATTTCCTTAAAAAATTAAAGCTGAATCCCTAATACCAGATAACAATAAAGCATTCTTTCCTAGATCCCAAAAATAATCATTAATTCCAGAGTCAATAAGTGTAATCAAGAATTCCCACAAAAATAAAGGCCCAATCTCGATGTCCCAAAAAGTGTCTATCCACCCCTCTTTGTAAGGATTTTTTAGACAAAATTCACCTGAAAATCTAAATTTTTCTTCAAGCAGTATTGACGTATTCTTGGTACACTGTTCTTCATCAAGTAATTCCTATCTACTGTCATGTCTGGAAATACAAAGTGAATGATAGTTAGTCACAATATCTACTGTCATGTCTGGAAATACAAAGTGAATAATAGTTAGTCACAATATCTACTGTCATGTCTGGAAATACAAAGTGAATAATAGTTAGTCACAATATCTACTGTCATGATTGGAAATACAAAGTGAATTATAGTTAGTCACAATATCTACTGTCATGTCTGGAAATACAAAGAGAATAATAGTTAGTCACAATATCTACTGTCATGTCTGGAAATACAAAGTGAATAATAGTTAGTCACAATATCTACTGTCATGTCTGGAAATACAAAGTGAATGATAGTTAGTCACAATATCTACTGTCATGTCTGGAAATACAAAGTGAATAATAGTTAGTCACAATATCTACTGTCATGTCTGGAAATACAAAGTGAATAATAGTTAGTCACAAAGAATAATAGTTAGGCACAATATCTACTGTCATGTCTGGAATACAAAGTGAATAATAGTTAGTCACAATATCTACTGTCATGTCTGGAAATACAAAGAGAATAATAGTTAGTCACAATATCTACTGTCATGTCTGGAAATACAAAGTGAAAAATAGTTAGTCACAATATCTACTGTCATATCTGGAAATACAAAGTGAATAATAGTTAGTCACAATATCTACTGTCATGTCTGGAAATACAAAGTGAATAATAGTTAGTCACAATATCTACTGTCATGTCTGGAAATACAAAGTGAATTATAGTTAGTCACAATATCTACTGTCATGTCTGGAAATACAAAGAGAATAATAGTTAGTCACAATATCTACTGTCATGTCTGGAAATACAAAGAGAATAATAGTTAGTCACAATATCTACTGTCATGTCTGGAAATACAAAGTGAATTATAGTTAGTCACAATATCTACTGTCATGTCTGGAAATACAAAGTGAATAATAGTTAGTCACAATATCTACTGTCATGTCTGGAAATACAAAGTGAATAATAGTTAGTCACAATATATTTTTTTTTAAATGATTTGTTCCTTTATACATTCTGTGTTTAAAATTACAACTTGTCACTCAGAGATGTCTTGTAAAAAAAATTTGGGACTGATCATGGGGGAAGGGGGAGGATTCTACTTCAACCTGCCAGATATTTATGATAGTGAGTTTAACTATCTGAGTATCTCTATCTCTTGTGTATATTGAAAATTATTATTTTTATTAGATATTTGTTTGTCTCTTTTCAATTGATAATTTGATACATAACTCACACAGCCTAAATTTAGATCCTGTCATACTGTCTGGGTGTTTGTGCATGAATGCCATTCTTTCCACCTTACAAACAGAATATAAGTGTAGATTGCTGGAGAACTTTATCAGAAGTTTTATACATTTACAATGTATGTTCCCTTATAACACTGTATAAAAGGGGGATCACTTGTATAATTTGCTCCAACAATGGATCAGCCTCTATAGTTATCCCAAAAAAACCTTTCATCTCAGACGAGACAAAAATCATTCAAATACCAGAAAAAGCTGTATACAACCAATAAAATCTATACATCCAACTATAACGATGCATTACAGATCCTGTAAATTTCCAGCATCATAATCCTTATGCAAAAAAGTTATGCTATTACATTACAGTAAGAGTGTTTAATGACGTCATTAACAGGAGTTGACCAAAGCCTAAGGGTCAATTGTGTAAAATCGTTCTTAAAAAGGAACTTGTGATATCAGGTCAACCTTTTGCATTTGCGGAATAAGTTATTTCTCTAATCATGTCTTTCACCGGAAAAGATCGTCAATTACGCACTCCCTTATGACGTAATTTATCAGATAGAAGGTGCGCCTTATCCCTGAACGGTGACACACCTACATATTAATGTTTAAAGCCATCTTCAGGTTCGTCATTCTGCAGGATAATCTAGAAATAATTTATGTTCCGTAGGTATGTAATCTCAATGTTCCGTACAACTGAAGGGAGGGTTATGTTAATTAGCAGCTACCTTTTGCACTGTATCAAACCAAGAATTTGTAATTGCTAAAGTTAATTTGAAACGTTACTCTGTTAAGGGGTTATCAGTTTAAAGTCATTCATTTTTTTTCTACTTAAACTTATAGTATGTTTTTTATATAAATAATAAACAAAAATACCAGTGAAAGTTGAACTGAAGAACACACGAACAACCGTGTTCTCCATTTCTGGAAGGTCCCCATAACTTCCATTGAGGACTTCTTTCTGGGTCGCTTCATCACCCATTGTAAAGATGAATATATTCAAAGATCTATAAATCTTTTTTCTCTCATGACAAAGGACTTATCAGCATTTAAATACCCATTTTCTGAAACAATAATATTATGTGTTTACGGTCTCCAATCAAACATCAAAAGTAAATGTCAAGTCGAGTTCCGTCTAAATACAAATATTCCGGGGAAGATGTATTTTTTAAAATAGATCATTTTAAAACGTAATTTTCGATCTGTTTGTTGATATAACCTAATATAGCTCACGAAGTTCTCACCTGTCCTAGGATTTTTTCATATTTCATCTTTTAAAGATTCAAATGCAACTTAGACTAAATTTCAATCAAAAAACTTTTTTTTTTAAATTTTAACTTGACTTAGTTAAATCAGAGACTACTAGTCTATAACGTGTTATAGTAGTCTCAGGTTAAATTTGTACCAAATCAATTTGTTCTAATTATGATATATACATGTACAGTGTTATGCCATAAGTATTCGTCGCCTACATTTTTCCTATATATATATATATGTATATTTCAGATAAAACTACGATATTTGCTATGTCATTTCTAGTTGGATTTTAAACTAGCGAATAGTAGCAGAATTGTTGCAAGTTTATTTGTTTATATGGTTTTGTGATGATATAATCCAGAGACATATATATGGGGATGTTTTAATAAGGTTCTACACAACAACAGAAAGGTTTTAAGTCGGACGACGATGATATAAACAAACAAGAGTGCACACGTTGAAATATCTCGCTTAATACTTTACTAATGATTGAATATATGTTGAAACTCTGCAATATGAAGGTTTACTACAAATATCACATGAACTTAATTAACATTATCAATGATCCATGAAAATGAGGTCAAGGTCAGATGAACCATACCAGACAGATATGTAAACCTTACAATCAAATTTAGTAGTCCTATTGCTAATAGTACCTGAAAAACAGACCTCATTGCATTTTCGCAATTTCCCTATTAAGCATCCTCTCGTTTTTGCGTTTGTCCACTACTGTTAATCATCTCGTATCTTCAATCTTAAAGATAATGATTTACAATTTAAAGAGAACCTCACATGATAATATTATTTTCAAACACTCTGGGCGGAACAGTTATTATATACCTTAAATAAAGGCAACAGTAGTATACCGCTGTTCGAAACTCATAAATCGATAGAGATAAAAACAAATCCGGGTTACAAACTAAAACTGAGGGAAACGCATCATATATAAGAGGAGAACAGCGACACAACAAAAACATAACATTAAAATGTAACACACACAGAAACGAACTATAATATAACAATGGCCATTTTCCTGACTTGGTACAGGACATTTTAAGAAAAAAATGGTGGGTTGAACCTGGTTTTGTGGCATTCCAAACACTTACTTAAACAAATTCCATTTTAGATTTAACATATCTTCATTATATAGACAATGAATGATCATGATTGGTTTAAATTCTTGACCTTTTTATTAAATTGTAACTGTTTTTTTTTTATGCCCCCGCCGTAGCGGTGGGGCATTAAGTTTTACCCTTGTCCGTCTGTACGTACGTACGTACGTACATACGTCCGTACGTACGTCCGTCCGTACGTCCCAAAATTGGTTTCCGTTCTCTAACTTGAGTTTGTCTCAACCAAATGTTATGAAACTTATACACAATGCTTATGACCACAAAACACAGATCAAGTTTGAATTTTGTTGGCGTCACTTAAACCGATCTAGAGTTATGCCTCTTTATAAATGGAAAAATTGCAAAATTTTTAATTTCCGTTCTCTAACTTAAGTTTGCCTCAACCAAATGTTATGAAACTTATACACAATGCTTATTACCACAAAACACAGATCAAGGTTGAATTTTGGTGGCGTCACTTTAACAGTTCTAGAGTTATGCTCCTTTATAAATGGAAACATTGCAAATTTTTTTGTTTCTGTTCTCTAACTTAAGTTTGCCTCAACCAAATGTTATGAAACTTATACACAATGCTTATTATCACAAAACACAGATCAAGTTTGAATTTTGGTGGCGTTACTTTAACCGTTCTAGAGTTATGCCCCTTTATAAATGGAAAAATTGTAAAATTTTAGTTTCCGTTCTCTAACTTAAGTTTGCCTCAACCAAATGTTATGAAACTTATACACAATGCTTATTACCACAAAACACAGATCAAGTTTGAATTTGGTGGGATCACTTTAAATGTTCTAGAGTTATGCCCTTTATAAATGGAAAAATTGCAAAATTTTTATTTTCTTCTAAATATCAAGTAATTTTCAAAATTGGAGTTATCTTCCTTTGTCCATGATTATAGTTGAATCAACTACAATCAATGCTTTATACAATGCAATGTTTAATTTTTACTTCCACTGATAAAACACAGATCAAGTTGAATTTGGGTAGTGTCACTTTAACCATTTTTGAGTTATGCCCCTGTATAAATCGAAAGATTGCAAAATTTTTAGTTTCCATTCTGTAACTTAAGTTTGCCCCAACCAAACATTAGGAAACCTATACACAATATTCATTACCACAAAACTAAGATCAAGTACACATTTTTTGTTTCCGTTTTTCTAACTTTAGTTTGCCTCAACCAAATGTTATGAAACTTATACACAATGCTTATTACTACATAATACAGATTAAGTACTAAATTTGGTGGCGACACTTTTACCATTCTTGAGTTATGTCCGTTTATAATCATAAAAATTGCTGAATTTTTCGTGTCCGTTCTCTTACTTTAGTTTGTCTCAACCAAATGTTATAAAACTTATACACAACCGTACTAGAGTTATGCGTGTTTACAAATAGAAAAATTGCTGAATTTTTAGTTTCTGTTCTCTACTTAAGTTAGCATCAACCAAATGTTACGAGACTTACACACAATGCTTATTACCACAAAACTCAGATCAAGTTCAAATTTAGGTAGCGTCACTTTTACCGTTCTTCAGTTATGTCCCTTTATAACTACATGATATGCAAGCGGGGGCATCATCTGTGTCCACATGTGGACACTATCCACATTTATTTTTGTTTTGTTTGTGCATTTGTGAGGCAAATATCAATTACATTGCTATTTCAAAGATAATTTTATCAAGTAGATTTAAAACCAAAAATGTCAGTTGAAGATTCTTGTGTCATGTACCAAAGGTTGTTGTTACTTTGTAATTACTGTGTTCAATTGGTTTGGAAAGATACTAAGATAAACTTGTCTCAAATCGGATGGTAATTTAATACGTAATTTACACAGATACTCTACTATTACTAACAATCATGTCTTAGTCACCAGCAAACCATATATAAAAATGGATTATCTACACACTGCGGCAGCGGTGGGATGGTTACAGAAAAAAATGAGTTTGGAAATTATTCTGCTAGTGGAGTTAAATTGAACGGTGATTTTATTTAAAATAATAGAAGACATGGATTCAAATAGAACCAATTATGAAACATTTCCAATGGGTTTCACAAATGTTGGAACACGTGATGCAGAGGAACATCTTTAGTATTCTTCCAAGGTCTGTACCGAAAATTATGCAGGAAATATTGGTCCTTAATAGCAGAGTCACGTCAGAAAAAGGACCAACGTGTGGTCGGAACCGCGTGGTTCCCCAACAACAAAATCAACTCCGCCAGGTACCGACAGGTGGTAAAACTCAAACTACCCCGATGATGAAAAGGTGAACACTTAGTTGATGAAAAATAATTTGAAAACTAACTTTCACATTTCCATATCACGATCTTGTTGATGGCTACAGCAGAACGCGATTCTTTTAACTATGACAAAATGATGATAACATTCATAATTCCATTTATCATTAAAAATTGGAAGGACGAGACGTCAAAATGTATTAATACACACAGAAAAAATCAAATGTAAAAGAGTTTCAAGATTTGACGCGGTATCTATTAATTCGCGACATTTTCACAACATAGAAGTTCTGAAACCCACGCAAAGCGAACATTTACTGGCACAGGAAAGGACATTTGGGAGGATTTTCTGCGTTATTTTGAAAACAGTGCGAAATTAAATGGATGGAATGTTGACAGAAAATGACTAGTGTTTATGACAACGCTAAGATGTCAAGCAAAGACATTTATGCGTGCATGGTAACAAATGGTGTACACACAAATAAATAATTATGAATTGGACATTCTAACATGAAAGAAAGTCATCTCGCTGAAGCAAGACTGAAAAGAAGAACACCATGAGAGAAAAGGGACAGGCAAAAGAAAATTTGTATAGACGTGCACATCCTTTTAATACAGAAGTTGTGCAGGAAAACAGCATCAGAACGTTTCGTGATGCTTGTAGAAACTGACAATTTTATGATGGCCATAAAATTTACAAAATCAAAGACTCTCCAGGAAGCAGTGACAAGTACTTTGCAGGAAGAATGCATACGCATCAATGGACAAATTACTGGTAAGCTGGTTCGTAGAAATGTTTACGAAGTTAATGGAGAAAGCAAAATGCAGTGTGCAAACATTTCTGCCAAGCATAAAGAGAAAAGCCAGAACACGCAAATTCATGGACGACAGAGACGTGTAAATTTCCAAACTAGCAGTTACTGTGGCCAAACGAGTCATATCGTCGATAGATGCTGACAAAAGGCAAAATGAAGCCCAGAAGATGAAGCCGACAGTGTCCAACAACACCGTTCGACAAAGTGAGGGTACCGACCAACGGTCGGAGCAGAAGGCAATGTCCCGACCTCCGGTTTCAAACGGCCTAGCAAAGTAAATAAGGAGTGTATCCTGAATACTTCAAAGATGGCAAGCAGCACTCAAAATTGTCTAAAGGATGTTTATGGCAGTTACATTGCTCTGAAAAAGTTGAACCGTTTATCTGTTAAACCAGAACGTAACTCCTAAATGTCTTCATTCACAAACAGAACAAACTTATAATGTATCTTATTCAAAGGAAGTTAATACGATGGACACATTGTCTACATAATTTGAATTGCTACAGGACAACGAGAAAGGTGAATCGGACATCGAGCTGAATGTTGTAGCATTCTAAACAAGGATTAATAGAAAATCTGGTATGGTTGTTGACGATCACATGAAAGATCTCCAATCTCATGGAAAATAGATACCGGGGATAGAAGTACCTTTATAAAAGAAG